GCAAGCCATCGTTGAACTGCGTCTTCTCGGGTCCTTCAAGGGTCGTGCCACCCAACTGGAGGAGAATCTGGTCGTCTAAAGCGCGGAGGAGCGACCGTCAGCGCCCGACATGCCTCGAGGACACGCAACGTGGTTATTAGTCCTTGCGGGGTGAAGGCGACCTACCCGGCAGCTTCATGGACTCGAAATGCTGGAAGATGCAGTCAGCACCCCGAGGGCAGTCCCGGCTGGCTAGCTGGTCTGGACAGATGGGTAGGTTCGGATCAATCCTGTTGCTGTAGGTGAGGGACCGAAGCCCGCCAGGGACGGTTTCAGCAAACTTGGGATGGTATCGGTAAGCACGGAAATACTGCAGTGGACTCTCGTAAGGGGTGAAGCGTTCTCCAGACGATGATGCCTCATCAGTGCTCTGTGTAGCAAGCGGGACCTAGCAACCAAGTTAGTAACCGAAGCGCTTCCTTGGCGCAAAATGAATTGTACTTCTCTCACGGCGTTGACACCCTGCTCAGGGGTCGACTCATTGACTCCCAACGAGATCTGCTCGGGAATCTGTGAGGCTCTGGCACTCGTTTGCTGTGAGTCAGTGTCACTGTTGACAAGCGAAACAGCGCTATCTGCTGCGACTGGGCTGATGGACGGAGACTTCGCGGCAGCTGCCGGAACAACATTCTCAGCGGGCTCGTAGTCGTCTTCAGGCTCTTGCTCGGAGGAGCTAGAGTCATCGGACTCGGCCATGGCAACATCGGAGGCATCATCACTAGTGATTGGCTGCGACTCATCATCATCACCCACAGTCTCAGGGTTGCTGGGAGTCTCATGAAGCGCAGGCATGGGGGTCTCTGTGGAAGGTGGGGCTTGCGAAGGGCTCGCTGCGGCTTTACCAGTGACCGCATTTTCGACATCATCTGCCGTGTTGCGAATGTCCTTGTCGTGACCCATTGAAGGAGACTTGCTATGACGCACGCTTGCAGCATTAGATTGTTCAGCCACTTTGCTGGAACTCTGCTCAGCGTCTGCGGCAGCAGGCAAAGGAGTCGGCATCTCGGACTGAGGGCCTGTGGATGTTGTAGGGATAACGGGATCGACTTTGTTTAGTTAATAATCAACCTAATTCAATCTTTTTCAAGATGAGGACTTACCTGAGTTGCTTTTCAACTGGTTCTGAGGCTCAGACGACTCATTCGAGTCCTGGTCGAGCTGTTCCATCTCCTGCGTCAAATTCTGCTTCTCAGTCTCCTCTTCCTGAATCTCTTGCTCTAGACGAGACATTTGAATCTGCAGAAGGCGGAGTTTGCTCTTCTTCGTCTGAAGTCTGTTCTCGAGAAGCGGAAGATTAGTGCTAACAGTCCGGAGCCTCTGAGAACGGCTAGATTCTCCTTGCATGCGATTGTCCGATGGCTTGGGCAAGCGCAGTGAACTGCTGGGCTCGGCAATCGCGGGCGACTGCTGGCCGTTAGGCGGATCAGATACATGGGAATCACCCATTGACTGGACTCTGCGCATACTTGGCTTGCCGCCATCCGAATCAAGAGCAGTATCCGGCGTCTGGCCCGCCGACTTCTGGCTAAGCGACTTATCACCCATGGCAGCCTTGAGCTTGGCGCGAGCCTCGGCCAAGGCAATCTTGCGCTTCATGGCCTCGATCTGCTTATCCATGACATCGATATGAGCTTGCTTTGGCTGGCCTACAGCGCCGGACTGAGGAGTAGTTATGTTGCTTGGAGCGGGGCTCGAAAGCTGGCGTTGAGGGAGACCGTTGGATAGGGGCGGAAAGTCGCGGAAAGACGCCGGTCTAACAGAGGGCGTGTCTTGCTGAGTGCTTGACGGCTCGTCTGTGGGAGACCCAATCTCCATCTCAACATCCTCGTCATCGGACCCGTCACTAACATCAATGACAAACCGAGTGTCTTGCTGAGTATGACCGAATGGGCGTTTATGGGCATAAGTATTGGCCACGAAGTCGGATGCGACAGGTCTTTTGCGCTGGTTGATGAGAGGCGCAGGCTGTGGAGCAGATGTGAAAAGACCAGGAATGGCCGAAGCTGGAGCAGTCTGACGATCAGCTGATGGTTGCAGGGCGTTGGGCCGAGCAAGTTGATTTGCAGCAGGCGCCACAACCGGCACGTTGGCAATTGCTGATTGAGGTCTGCGAGGAGGTTCAACTGGGGAAGGTTCCTTTGATTGAGAGGATTGCAAAGAGCCTTTGCGCTCTGCTGCCTTTTGAGCACGGGCTTCACGGGATTTCTGCAGAGCATCCTTCTTCTGTTGTTGGACGAGTTCCTTATCGTTCGGCGTACCAGCTTGTGCGCCAGTGGTGGTGGATGAAGATGCTGCTGCCTTTGCACCCTTTGCAGCCAACAGGCGAGCAATTCGATCCTTTCTCTCTTCTCCAGCCGACTTCACTGCTGAAGGTGATGACTGTTGCTGAGCCGGGGGCTTCGGGGGCAGCGCTGCACCTGCCGTTCTGGCCTGTTGAGAGGCAGACTGACCAGAGGCATACGAGAGCCCGGGCAGGGACATGGCAGTGGAAAGGCCTGGGATGGAGAACTGACTGGGCGCTTTGGTATCCAGCTTCAAGTCAGTCAAAAGGTTGTCGACAATGGTTTTGTCAATGCCCTCATCGACAAAGTCCTGGCGGCGGACACCCAGAGGCCAGAGGTTCCCAATAGCAGACCGAGCCCTCTGCCGAGCTTCCTCGACCGCATTCTTGCCTTGTTGCTGACCAGCACCCGTTGCGATAGGCTGAATGAACTGTCCACTAGAAGCATGCAGCTGCGAGGTGGAAGCGCCGTTTTGATTGTTGGACGCTGTGCGTGGGTGAACTTCGTGAGGAGACAAATGAGGGGAGTATGATCCGGAATGCTCTCGATCTGCTGAGTGTTAGCTCTAAATCGACAAAAGTCTTCTTCTCAAAAATAGGAAATACGCACCATCACCACCGGCCATTGCAGGACGCTTCATCCCGCCATCTCTTGAACCACCATAGGAGCTGGGATTGGGATACACGGCGCTGGTCTTGCCATTACGCGCATTTGCAGTTACGGCATTCGGAACGTTCTGGCGTTGCTGGCGTGAGCTCGCCTCCGGAAGGATCTCCTCAGGCTCGTACACGTCATCAAGTTCGCCGTCAGAAAGCTCGCCTTCCTCGGCATCGTTGGAGGTTTGCTTCGTAGATCGCTTCGGCGCGGTAGGAGGGAGAGCGCCGGAGGCGACGGGGGCCTTGGGCTTCGGGGTCTGGTCGGAGTGATAGTACTGCGATGCTGGGATGAGGTTGGGACCCTCTCTCGGGGGCTGCCAGTGATGCTGGAGAGGTGGCTGCTGCTCCTGCGACTGCTGGGGTTGCTGCCAACCAAAGCTCTGAGGAAGCTGGGGAAGCTGAGGGAGATGGCCGTAGCCGCCAAGGCCAGGAATCATGTTTTGATTATGCTCGTATGAGGTCTGCGAGTGCATGACACCATCATAGGTGTTTTCGGTGTGCTGAGGGTATTGAGCGAAAGGCGGCGCAATCGGATAGGAGTAGGGCTGCTGCTGCGGCTGCTGTTGAGCAGGCGGCTGGCCTGGGTACGGCGGGTACCCGAAAGGGTAGTAATTGTTCATGGCGAGTACCGGCGACTGTGACTGCTGGACCTCCTACCTTGTGAAATGTGACAAAGAGGTACAGGTACTCGACCGTTCAAAGAGAGAGTTCAGCCCAAAATCAAGAGGCAGGGAGTGGTGGCGGGTAAGTATGTGGTCGCGATGGTACTTCTGATTGCCAGTCCTTTCAACAAATGTGGAGGAAGGTTGCCTCTAGCTTGGTGCGCTAGAATGTGGAAGGTGCAAGCTGGAAAAATCTGGGTGAGCCGAGTCGGTGGGCAAGGGCGAAAGGAGCATGGCAATTCGCATTCGCGGTGGAGAGAGGGAGACGGGGGTGGTGTTGGTGGGAGGTCAGGGTTGGCAAGTGTGATGTTGAAAATGACTTGCTCTGCCTCGCGCCAACAGGAGGGAGAATTTCACGGCGCGAAAAAAGCTCTCGTCGGAAAAAATAAATCGTCATGCACTTACTCCGTACAGCGGTCAGCAGTGGGCGGTGGGCGTGTAGCAGCGGCTATCCGAATCTCCGAATTGGGATTGATTTTTTGGGAAAAGAGGAAATCTGCCGGATGAAAGCGACGCAAAAAAAAGCTCGTAATGCTCTGTCTGGATTGAGCCGTCGCGTCACAGAACGATGCTACTGTGAGCGAGCTTTGGAACGTTGATGTCTTTGAAAGGTTCAAGTAGCCGCAAAGTGCGACTGCGACTGCGACTGCGACGGACGGAGGTTGGGGCGGGTGGACGGCTCTCGGGCAGTTCTCGAATTTCGAGTCTTTTCGGGCGGGATTACTGGGGCAAAAGTGGCAGACACGGAAGGGCAGCTCAGCGTGGGCAGGCAGGTCCAAACAACCTACCAGTACCTTACCTGGAAGGCCCGAGTCAAATGGAAATTCAAGGCCGTGAGGCTGCAAGGATGGCCGTGGCCATCAGTGGGGATACAATCCATTTCCCCCTAGTTCGCATCCGGCTAGCGTGACTTGAGACGGTCTCGCGTCACCTTTGTCGCTGGCGTCTGTCACGTGGGGGCCCCCCCAATGGGCCCCCTCCATTGTTTACTTTGCTCAGGCGTACCCTGAGCAACCGTACTCCTGAATCCCTGTTCTTTGTTAGTCCAGAGTCAACAATACAATATCCATCCTTACGTCGATTGTAAATCCTCCACTTTCCCAGCCTCCCCGACATTGCCTTGATCTCGTCTTTTCGTCACTGGCAATTTCGCCCAAGAGGCTGCAATCCCGCGACGTCTTTCATATTGTTTTCTTTCAGAAATTCGTCGTTTCCGTTGCCCTTCGTCAGCTTTGCCTCTATCTTAATGTGTACTCTATGAGCGACGTTTTGCGACGAAAGACACGAACCCAATACGACACGCCGCCCTGAGGGCTGCGCTATTCTGACGATACCCTGCTTCTTCTCATATTCCTCAAATCATGGCGCAACCACGGAATAATCCTTTTGCTAGGACCTCGCCCGGTCCTAGCAGCGGCCGGCCGAAATCCGCAGTCTTCTCATCACCGTCTCCGCTGTCAGCCGTTACCACGCCCGTATCGCACGTCAGAAACCATTCCACTGCCTCAGCAGCACCCGCAGCAGCACCTGCGGCATCTGCGGCACCTGCGGCCCCTATCATGTTCTCAGGCACCGGCCACTTCCGTCACAATCGCTCCGACTCGAGAAACAGTGGCTCTGGTTCCGGGACCTTTGCGCCTTCCTTCATCAAGACGGAGGAGATGCGCCGTGGTTCTGACACAGTCAAAGGCATCGAGGGCGAGAACGACTTCTCCGGAAAACGTTATGTGTGGCTTAAGGACCCGCAAGCTGCTTTCGTAAGAGGTTGGGTGGTTGAGGAGACAGGAGGCAACAAGATACTCGTTCAGTGTGACGATGGTACAGTGAGTGCTTTTATCTGACCGTCATGTGCCGTCATGACATAGATCGCTGACATGCAACTTTTAGCAACGAGAAGTCGACGCTGAAAGCGTCGACAAGGTCAATCCCGCCAAGTTCGACAAGGCAAACGATATGGCTGAATTGACCCATCTGAACGAGGCGTCTGTCGTGCATAACCTCCACATGAGATACCAAGCCGACCTCATCTACACCTATTCCGGCCTCTTCTTGGTCACAGTCAACCCCTACTGCCCACTACCCATCTACACAAACGAATATATCAATATGTACAAGGGGAGGAGTAGGGAAGACACCAAACCACACATCTTTGCCATGGCCGACCATGCTTTCCGCAATCTGGTAGACGAAGGCGAGAATCAGAGTATTCTTGTTACCGGCGAGTCCGGTGCTGGTAAAACCGAGAACACCAAGAAGGTGATCCAGTACCTTGCAGCCGTCGCGCACTCCGAGTCCCCCGTAAAGAATAAGTCTCAGCAGTCCAACCTGTCGCAACAGATCCTCCGAGCCAACCCTATCCTTGAGGCCTTTGGTAATGCTCAGACGGTGCGTAACAATAACTCTTCACGATTCGGCAAATTCATCCGGATCGAGTTCAACAAGGCAGGTGCCATTTCTGGCGCCTTCATCGACTGGTACCTCTTGGAGAAGTCTAGGGTGGTGAGGATCAACGGGCATGAGAGAAACTACCACATCTTCTACCAGCTTCTCAAGGGCGCAGACAGGAAGATGAAGCAGGAATTCCTCCTTGACGGCTTGGATGTCGAGGACTTTGCTTACACGCGCGCTGGCCACGACACAATCGTCGGCGTCTCCGACCGCGAAGAGTGGGACTCGTTGATGGAGGCCTTCAACGTCATGGGCTTCTCAGACAAGGACCAGAACTCAATCATTCGCACAATCGCCGCCGTGCTACACCTCGGAAATATCTCTGTCGTCAAGGAAAGTCGTGCCGCAGATCAAGCCCGGCTGGCACCTGATGCCAAGGAACAGGCAGCCAAGGTTTGCAAGCTCCTTGGTGTTCCGCTCGAGCCATTCCTGCAGGGCCTGCTTCACCCCAGAGTCAAGGCTGGCCGTGAATGGGTTGAAAAGGTTCAAACTCCCGAGCAGGTCCGACTGGGACTCGACGCGTTGTCCAAGGGTATCTACGAGAGAGGTTTCGGTAATCTCGTGACTCGCATCAACCGTCAACTGGATCGTACAGGCATGGGCATCGACGACTCGCGCTTCATTGGTGTCCTGGATATTGCTGGTTTCGAAATCTTCGAAGAGAACAGCTTTGAGCAGCTTTGCATCAACTACACCAACGAAAAGCTCCAGCAGTTCTTCAACCATCACATGTTTGTGCTCGAGCAAGAAGAGTACGCGAGGGAACAGATTGAATGGCAGTTCATAGACTTTGGACGCGACCTTCAGCCCACGATTGACCTCATCGAATTACCCAACCCCATTGGTATCTTCTCTTGCTTGGACGAAGACTGTGTGATGCCCAAGGCCACAGACAAGTCATTCACCGAAAAGCTCAACTCCTTATGGGACAAGAAATCGAATAAGTATCGCCCTTCTCGACTCGGCCAAGGCTTTATCCTCACGCATTATGCGGCGGAAGTCGAGTACTCCACCGAAAGCTGGCTGGAGAAGAACAAGGATCCGCTGAATGATAACATCACTCGCCTCCTTGCTTCCTCTACTGACAAGCATATTGCCGATCTATTCGCCGACTGCGCCGATGTCGACGACGATCTAGGTGCCAGCCGCAACCGGGTCAAGAAGGGATTGTTCCGGACTGTCGCACAGCGCCACAAGGAGCAGCTCCACAGTCTGATGGCACAGCTTCATTCTACCCATCCTCACTTCGTCCGCTGTATTCTGCCCAACCACAAGAAGAAGCCCAAGCAGTTCAACAAACTGCTCGTGCTTGATCAGCTGCGGTGTAATGGTGTTCTCGAGGGTATCCGCATTGCCCGGACGGGCTTTCCTAATCGCCTTCCTTTTGCCGAGTTCCGTCAACGCTATGAAGTGCTTTGCAGAAACATGCCCAAGGGCTATCAAGAGGGTCAAGCTGTAGCGGCCATGATGCTTGAGAAGCTTGGCCTAGATAGGAGCTTGTACCGCGTGGGCCTTACGAAGGTCTTCTTCCGAGCTGGTGTGCTAGCCGAACTGGAAGAACAGCGTGATGCCCTTATCACCGAAATCATGTCTCGATTCCAGTCAGTTGCACGTGGCTACATCCAGCGACGAGTCGCTTACAAGAGGCTGTTCCGGACTGAGGCCACCCGCATCATCCAGAGAAACTTTAACACCTACCTCGACCTGATGGAGAATCCGTGGTGGCAGCTTGTTAGCAAGATGAAGCCACTCCTGGGCGCTACTCGTAGTGCAACAGAGGTCAAGAAGAGGGACGCAATGATCCGCCAGCTTCAGGACAAGATGAAACAAGAATCTGATGATCGCCACAAGCTGGAAGAGGATCGCCGAAATGTACACAACGAGATGGTCCGAATTCAACAGACCTTGGAAAGTGAACGTGCCCTCGCGTTGGACAAGGAAGAGATCTTCAAGCGCCTACAAGTGAGAGAAGCAGAACTCGAAGAGAAGCTCTTCGGCGCCATAGAAGACCAAGAGAGGCTGGAGGACCAACTTGACGACCTACTAGAAGCCAAGAAGAGGGCCGAGCACGACGTTGAAAAGTACCGGGCTCAACTGGAGCAAGCTGCACTACTTATCGCACGGCTAGAGCAGGAGAAGTCAGAGCTCTCAGAACGCACCGAAGAGCTGGAGCGCTCTATCGAAGAGATTTCGCAGAAGCAATCGGAGCGTAGCGAACAGGAGAGACTGCTCGAGGACGAGATCAAGATGTTGCAGAGCCAGCTCAGTCTCAAGGATCGCAAAGCACGGGACTTGGAGAGCAAACTCCTCCAGATCGACCAGGACCTCGAGGTCAAATTGCGGACAGCACAGAAAGATTTGCAATCGTCAAAGTCGAGAGAATCCCAACTGGCTCTCGAGAACCGCCAGGTCCAACAGCAACTTTCTGAACTATCCAAGACTTCGACCGACTACGAGGATCTTGTCCGCAAGAAAGAGAGCGAATTGTCCGTTCTTCGGGGAGACAACAAGAAGTTTGAGATGGAGCGTCGTACCTTTGAGGAGCAAAAGAAGGTTCTCGTCTCCGAGAAGGAGACCGCTGCATCCAAGCTTCGCGAAGTCCAGGCCGAGATCACAGCCATCAAATCACAACAGTCTCAGCTTGAGAGGGAAGCCGAGGATGCCAAGAAACTTCTCGAAACACGGCTTTCTGAAGATGCCCAGGCAGACGAGAATCGCCAAGTCTTGGAAGCTCAGATCAAGGACCTCAAGGACGAGCTCTTCAATATTCAAAAGGAGCTTAGCAGGGAGAGGCAGTCACGCGACGACGTCCTCCTACTGAGCGAGCACAAGTTCAACGCCTTACAAGAAGAGTACGATCATCTGAACGAATCGAAGATCATTATAGAGAAAGAGCTGTACGTTCAGCAAGATAACCTGCGTCGAACCAAGGAAGCCCGCGACACCGCCGAACGGGAACGCGACGAAGCGAGACAGGAGATCAGACGTCTCCGGGTCGCCAAGACTCAAGCCGAGGAAGCTCGCGTGCAGGCCGAGATTGAAGGCGAACGGGCTGCTTCTCGGGCTGCTCGAGAGAGAGAGGAGAGCCTTCGGAAAGATCTCGAGGCTGCTCAGGAAAGGTTGAAGTGGTTCGACAACGAGTGCGCCAATCTCAATCATCAAGTCGAGGATCTCAATAAGCTTATCCTTTCTTCTGGAGAGTTTGGTCTAAAGAACGATCAGGAGAAGGAGAGACTCGAGCGCGAGCTGGTCACTGTCAAGGGTCGCCTCAAAGCCTCGGAGAACGACAATCGTGCCCTTCTCAACAAGCTCCAGCAGAAGGGGCTGGAAATCGCCCGCTCAAGTTCAAGAGCCAGCGAAGCTTCAAGAAGTCAAGTGCTGGGTCTGCAACGTGAAAAGACCCGAGCCGATGAACAAAATGCTCAGCTGAACAAACAGCTTGGCGAAGCTCAATTCACCATCGCTGGCCTCGAGAAGAAGGCCGAGAAGTTGCAGCTCAACCTGGAGGATCTCAACCATGAAGTGGCCCGAGAAGCTAAGGCTTCGAGGAATGCCGAGAAGACGGCATCGACTGCTACTGCGCAACTTGCGGAGGCCAATCGCACCATCGAGTCTGAGCGCCAGCTCCGTACACAGGCTCAGGCCACTGTCCGAACTCTGCAAACTACCATGGAAAGTAGGGAGAAGGAATTGCAAGAGCTGAGGGCGCAGATGCTCAAGGTCCTCAAGACGGTCGATCCCGACGTTGTTGTCCCGCCTCAAGCAGACGGCACAAACGAGGGCGTGCTTAGCAAGAACTTCGATCTGGTTAGGAAAGTCGAGGATCTCCAGCAGAACCTTCGGGTCCAGACGGCTGCTAGAACAAATGCCGAGACCCAGTTGGCGGAGCTGCGCTCTTCTCGCATGGAATCTCCTATGAGGCCCAAGCTGGAAGAGATCAGCCCTAACGAGGCCCCTTTCAATGGTTCGCCCACCTTTAGGCGATCCAAGATGCAGAATCGTCAGTACTCGAACAACTCGACGCCCACCCGCCGTTTCGAGCCAGAGAATATGGACTCAGCTCGCTCTGACAAGACTGCGGATATCCTGAGCTTCAACAACCGCATGGATCTCAAGGCCGAGGTTGAGGAGTTGCAGAACCAGCTTCAGATTGCTGAGATGCAAAATCGACACCTCCAAAGCCAGATCGAGCGCGGTTCCTCGCCCCCGGAGGAATTCGACGAGAACTCGTCTGTTCTTCGAGTGCAAAAGTTGGAGAAGGTCAACAGCCGCCTGCACGACATGCTGGACGACTCTGCAAGGAAGGTGTCGGCTCTGGAGCGGAGTGTGAGGACCGGCGAGTTGTCCCTGCGTGATATTCAGACCCGATCGCACGAAGAGATCCTGGACGCGCTCAACAGCCAAGAGGAGGCGCGTCGCTCACTTCTGCATAGCCACAGGGATGCCATCTCGGAACTTTCGGACGTCAAGAACCATTTCGAACGGATGCGCCACGACCGAGCTGCCCTTGAAGTCGAGCTTCGGGACACCACATCCGAACTCGAGGAAATGAGCCTGGCTCGCGAGCAAGAGGCTGCCAGCCGCAGTCAGCTCTTGCAGGACTTCTCTGATCTGCAGATTCAAGTCGACAACCAGACTTCCAAACTCGCCGACGTTGGGTCCAGCTTGAACCTATACAAGAGTCGTGCAGATGAATATTTCAGTAAACTGGAGCAAGCCGAGATTGCCGTTTTGAAGGCCAACCGAGCGGAATTGTTTGCCAAGACGCAGGCTAAGGAGGCCGAGGAGACGTATGCCGAGGTCATGTCCGAAAGAGAAAAGATGGACGCCACTATTGAGGACCTTCAACGCCAGAACCAGAGGCTTGAAGAGAAGCTCGAGGACGTTTCGACCGATTTGGATGCCGCAAGTCAAGCTAAGAAGCGTCTTCAGCACGAGCTCGAGGACTACAGGAACCAGAGAGCCAACGATATCGAGGACAAGGAAACCAGCATGGAGCAAACACGCAAGAAGTACCAAGCCGAGTTCGCCACATTGACCAAGGAGCTCGATCTGGCCCGCGAGGAGAAACTCTTCAAGCAAGCCGAGATTGCTCGCTTGCGGGAGGAGCTTGATGAGCTCCGCTCTAAGTGGGACGACGAAGTTCTCAACAGCTCGACCTGGTCCAAGGAAAAGGCCCGGCTGGAGTCAACTCTGGCTGATGTCGTCTCGTCACGCGATGAGGCGGTCAACGCCCACAGCGAGGCCCAAGGCAAGGTTGTGACTTTGCTTTCCCAGGTTCGGTCTCTCCGCGCCTCTGTGGACGAAGTCACTTCTGAGCGAGATCTTCTTGTCCGGGAGAAGCGCAGCATCGAGGCTCGCCTTGAGGAAGCCAAGGCTGGTCTGGAAGATCTCACCAACGGCGACAGCGCATCACTCCGCGACGCCGCCAACCTGGACAAGGAAATGTTGGAGTTGAAGTCCAGCCTGGCTCAGCATGAAGACATTGCTGCTGCTGCAGTGGAGAAGATGAGACGCGCCGAGGCACTGGCTGCGGAAATGCAAAAGGAGGCCATGGTTGAGCGCGAGGCCAGCACACAGCTCCAGAAGGTTAAGGCCACCCTGGAGAAGTCTTTGAACGAGATTCAGATCAAGTTGGTCGACCTTGAGACCAAGGGCTACTCAAGCGCTAGCCAAGATATCAAGTTTTTGCACAAGCGCATCCAAGAGGTAAGGATAGCCCACCATAAGACACTTCTCATAGTCACTAACAACATCTTTCAGCTTGAGTCTCAGCTTGAGGAGCATGAGAATGAGAAGAACAAGTCTCAGCGATCGGTTCGAAATGTTGACCGGATCGTCAAGGACCTCCAAGGTCAGATCGACCGCAAGGACAAGCAGAACACACAGCTGCAAGACGATGTTGCCCGCATGCGTGACAAGGCGGAAAAGCTCCTGCAAACGATCGAGGAGCTTCAGTCGTCCGAGTCGGAGAACCAGCTTCAGGCACGCCGTGCTGAACGGGAACTCCGCGAGGAGAAGGAGAGGTCGATGCGCCTGGAGCGTGAGCTCGAAGGCATCAAGGCATTGAGATTCGAAAAGGGGGCGGCGTCCGCGATGGGAAGCGTCCGCGGTGCGTGGCGCACAGGGTTTAGTGTTGATGATGACACCGCCTCCATGATTTCTGTACCCAAGCGGAAGAGCAGCCTTAGTCGGGCACCGAGTCTCACCAAGGGGTTCTTGTAAAAGAAGCGGGGTGTCAAGGGTATGATGTCGATGTATGGGGAAAAGACGTTGTAATGTTTAAATGGGATTGACTAGCACGGGTCGTTTCGGCGTTCGAGCCACGGACCGTAAAGGTCTGGGGGAACGGAGCGTGCGCATGGTCGCGAAGGGCGTGTTATGGTGTTTTTCTCTTTCCCTGTTGTATACGTACAGCATTGGCGTGTCTAGCATCGGGTTTGCGCTTGGTTTATCGTTATAGTGGTCAAACTTACATATTTTCAGTTGCCTTTATGAGACGAATAGATTCGGACGTTCAGAAGAGGATATCATGACTACAGTAGCCCTCCACATGTGCACTTGAGTTCTTCACGTGGATGGGGATATTCCGTTACTCTCACCGCTGAATTCCTCGTGGATGTTGTTTGGTCTCGGTGGTTGTACTTGGGTGACCTTGGATATGCGGGTAGCCGCGCGCTCTCGAGAGGAGGGGAAGTTTGGTGGTGGGAGCAAACAAAAAGGCGAGGGTCGGCTGTTCTCTCTTTCGAGGTTCTGTGAATCTTGTCTTACTTGTTTTCTCTGCTGTCTTGAGCTTTGCTGTTGCCAGAGCAGAATCTGCCGCATCGTTCAAGTATTTGAAACTGAGACATATACGACCCGACTTGAATCGAGCTCGACGACCTGCGGTACTGTACCATCGGACTCGATATACGACTGCTGTGGAGATGGCGGATCTTCGACGGCGAGTACCGGTTGGGGGACTCAGCGATGTTGGAGGAGAGGTGATTTGTCTTGATGATGAGGGTGTTGTTGAGGAGGGTGTTGATGTAGGTTTAGTTGGTGGGGGTGGGGGTAGTGGTGGGGGGTATTATTACTACGATGATGAGAGTGAAGATATCTCGGAGTCTGAGACGACTTCGGATGAGGAAGAGAGTGGTTGTGGTGGATGTGGAGGGTGTTGGGAGGAAGATGAGTGTTGCTTTGAGATGGTGGAGTGTTGTTCTGGTAGGTATGGCTGCCAGACTGGAGGGGGGAGGGGAAGTTGTAGTATTGGATTTGGATGTGAGATTGGCGGGAGGATGACACCAAGGGATTGTGGAGGTAAGAGGGGGAAGAAGTGTAAGGAGTGTGAGAAGAGGAAGAAGTGCAAGATGTGCGAGAAGGGGAAGAAGAAGAAGGGGAAGGGGTTCTGGAGTAAGCTTTATCCTGTTAGGAAGTTGGGGGAGTGGGGTGGTGATGTTGTTGGTGTTTCGAGGTGCCCTGGTGAGGTTAGTATTCCCTCCTCTGTTGTCTTTTTCTAGATTTCGTCTTACCTTCCGAGGTCTTGTGAAGGTGTGGGCTGAGACTAAAGGAGAGAGATGGTTGGTGTTTTTGTTTGCATATCGTTAATGGCGTGGAACAGCAAGATCCGAAGAAATGGGGGTTCAAAGTCGACGAGAAATTACGCGGATCACGAGGGTGCCTCTTGGGACCTGCCAATGCGATGACGAAGCATGTCTGTTCAGGTACTGGATCTTACGGGGATTTGAGACGGCCGTATACGGTGACGGAGCCCCGAAGAGGAGGAAGAGGACAACGACATACACCGAGACACGGACCGAGGAGGCATTATCACACTGGGTTGGGTAGTGGAGATCATGGCCAGAGGTATAAAGAGGTCTTTAGCCCTTCGCGTGGTGGATGGTTGTTATTCCCTGTTGAGCAGTATGATGCTCCTCCTCCTCGACCTCCTCCTCGGAGAAACACATCTCACGATGAGGAGTGGATCAGGCCACAAGATAGAGCAAGAAGCAGATCTCGCGATGGAGGGAGGTATTTCCGTGAAAGGGTTCGGCATGTGTATGTTCGGCGCGAGGGTGATGATGGGAGGTGGAGGGGTGAGAGGGGGAGAAGTAGGAGTAGGAGTTTGACGAGGAGCAGAAGTAGAACTGTGAGTAGAGATAGGAGTCGGAGCCGGAGTCGGAGTGTGAGGAGGGGGGTGAGCGGTGATGGTGGGGGCGGGTATGTTATGCATGGCGGTCGTGGAGATGAAGGGGTACGGCTGGGGAGGGAATTCAGGGGCGGTGTTGGATATGATGACGGACGACGCGGTGATGAGCGTGGCATAGATCGTGGCGGCGGGTATCATCATGATCAACGGCGCAGCGATGATCGAGGAAGGGGTAATGTCGAACCTGGCGGTAGGAGACGGGCGAGGAGCTGGGAGAGGAGGTCGGATGTTAGTGAGAGGGTTGGGGAGATGGACGATCGGTCGCAGGGGAGTTCGTATGCTTTAGGAGAAACGGCCGTTGCTAGGAGGGATGAGGTCGTCAAGTCTGTTCGGTTTCAGGGTCACCCACGGTCGTGATGAGGATTGCGGGATGATTTCAGCTGAGGAGCAAGTTTCACGGTGAAAGGCTCGCGGGAGGCCGCGTTCAAGTGACATTGCGAGTTAAGAATATGATATCAATATTTCATTCAAATAGCCTCCCATCTCACATGGTCTCATTATATCCCATCATCAATCTCTTCATGTAATTAAGTTACCTCCCGCTTCCGCTCTGCATTTTGATTCCCAGAAGTCTCTCACCGCACCTGCGCCGGCACCTTTTCATAACTCTTCACCTGGTCGGGCATGCGGTAGATGCACAGCTCCCGACAGAACATGCCCCACTCGCCGCTGGTGCCCTCGCGGACGGCCTCCTGCATGTCGCGGCCGTACCGCTCCCGGTAGGCGCGCTTGATGGCCTCGAGGTGGTGACGGTCCCAGTGGAAGCGGACGAGGCGGGAGATGAGCAGCTCGCGGCGCAGGTCGTCCTTGCGGCTTGCTGTAAGGGCGTGGTGGACTAGTAGGGCGTCGCGGACGGGTCTGTTGATGACGCCGTTGAGGACGTGGGCGAGGAGTTCTCCCTGTGAAGACAAGCTGAGTTAGTTCTAGGTCTGTATTTGTGTAACCATGGAAATTACTCACCACTAGGTTGCCGCTCTTCTTGAGCGCGTCGCGGGCAAAGTTGGTACGGTATGTTCGCTCGTACAACTTGAGCACCTCGCGCAGATGTGAGTCGCTCCTCTGCACGACGATGCTGATCATGAGCGACTCGCCGCCCTTTTCCGACTTGACGGCCTTGCGCAGGTCTGAGACATCATCCTCGACCGAGTGGTAGTCGATCGCCAAGCGGCGACCATAAGGATCATACTCCTCCATCCGGCGCTCCTCGAGCACCATGAGCACGGCCTTTTTGAACTTATCTTCCTTGAGCTCCGTCTTCATGCACTTTGTCAGGCTGTTGTCGTACTTTTTATCGCTGAAGCCGTCCTTGATGAGGCGGATCTCGTGGTTCGTGCGGCCCATGAGCGACTCGATGAGCAGCTCCCGGCGCGTCTTGTCGCCTTGGTACCAGAAATTGGCCCAGTACGCCTCGCTCTCCCACTGGCCGAGCGCCGTGGCGTAGCAGGCCTTCATCAGGTTCGGGTCGGAGTCCTTGAGGCGGGAGCGGATGTGCTTGGCCACGTTGACGCCCTTGCGGTCGGCGCCCGTCTTGACGAGGGCCTTGTACTCCTTGCGGAGGTCCATGACCTGGTCGTGGGTGAGGCCGGGGAGGATCTCAATGAGGGGCTCCGGGTCCGGGTTTTTCCTGTCGCTGCGTAGCGCTTTTGCGATTCTCGACGCATCGTCCTCAATGTCGTGGAACCGCGCACGGCGGCGTCGTCGGCCCTCGTCGTCGGAGCCGATTGGCGAGAGGGGCTCCATGACCTGCAGGTCGTGTGATGAGGGGAGCAGCATGGGTGACGGCATGGGTGACATGTCCTGATAGGTGCCGTGGTACGACTCCAGCAGCGGCGACCCCGGCGCGTTGGCGAGCGACATGCTCACGTTCATGGAGTGGTGGCCAGTGTTTACAGACAGGTTTGACATGCGGTGAGTAGGCGGCTGGGGCGACTTGTCCCGCCTGCGGCTGCCGGGTTCGACCGTCAAGACATTGGACGAGACGCGCGGGTCGTTGGCGTAGTACTGCGCGGCGCCGGCCGAGATCTGTGGCCCTGGACTCGGTGCGCGACCAGAGTATCGGGGCTCGGGGGCGAGGCCGCCTGGTCTAGAAGCATTGGGGTCGAAGCCGTATGCGAGGTTCTCCTCCAGAGCCTTCTTCTTTTCCTCCTTCTTCTTGGCCTTGTCGTCGGTCTTTGCGTATTCGTAGGGCTGCGGCTGAGCGTAAGCGTAGCCGCCGGGCGACACAGGGCGAGGGGGCTTCGCTGGGGGGTACAGGTCGCCTGCATCTGGGCGAGGCGGCTTTTGGGGCGCGTATTCGGCTTCGTTGCCGTACTTGCTGTTGCTGCGACCGTGACTGCTGTACTTTGCGGGCAAATACTTGAGCTTGTCGTCGTCGCGGGGCTCGTCGTACTTCTCGCGCGAGTTGCGGTAGTAGTTGTCTTGCGGTGAGGGGGGCGGACGGTAAGCAGGATTGCTGCCGCGCGGGTCGTCGTAGTCGTAGAGTGACCTGGTGCCTGGAAACATTGCGTCGCTGCCGTCCTCTGGGTAAGGAATAGCTCCAGACATGGCGCGGCTGGCGCCCGGTTCTGCGGTCACGACGTTGGCGCCTCCTCTCTCGCGTCCATATCTGCCACCATCTAGGTCGTCTTCCGGGTAAGCATAGCTGGGCTCGCGCGGGGGATCAACCATGGCGGGGACCGCGGGGCTCCGACTGCGCTCGCGACGGCCCGGCGAGCGCGAACGGGTGCGACGGCCTCGGTCGTCAACCTGGAGAGACATGGTAGTTGCTTGGAGACTTTGGACACTCGAACTGGGTTTTTCGCTGTTGAGTCTGAACTTGACTGCAAAAGTGCGAGCTGACGGGAATCGAGGTGGGGTTTTGGAGCTCGAAGTTGAGACAAAACGTGCGGGACAGGGAATGAGGGGCTCTCTCTGGCCCAAGTGTGTGTGGGACAGGGACCGTGGGCGTAGGGCGACGGGAGCTCCTCTTTTTTTTGCTCTTATATATCAGAGGGGAGTGAGATGAGATGAGATGTCGCGTGCTCTCTTAGCTTCAATTGAGCAGCGTGCGGCTGACTTCAAGTACTTGTACAGATCTTGGAGCCTCGAGCATAGGGTTGGATACGAAACGAAAGACGAGGAGGCTGTGGATGCATGTAAAAGAAAGGAAAGGAGACAGATAGATGCACTAATGTAAGGGTAGGCATGGGAAAATGGGGTGAGTGAGCAACGAGCAAGCCACCCAAAAGGAGAAGAGTTGGGCTGAAGGATGTGAAACCCACCCAGTTGCATAGCGTCTCTTCCCCATCCTGACCAGAACGGCATCAGCATCAGCAGCAAGTTAGTTGGCTAGCAACAGCTGTTGCGGTACTATGCAGTAAGCTAATGGAGCTCGCATCGTCTATCCCCTGTTCTGACTCCTCGGTGGCTACCTAGCTTGGCGGGAAATGTGTCGTATGAGCTACAGGCGAGTAATGCTTCATGACTTTACCTGCAGCACCGGCCTGGCATCATGAGGTAGCCGTGTCTCTTGGATCTGCTGATCAAAACTTGTCCGTCTAGACCGTCAGGCGCTAATGGCTGTGTGGTTGCGCCGGTTGGTCCAATGGCCGCGATGGCCTCAAATCTAGAGGCCCCTCAAAGAGTGCCAACACCGCCTTTCTGTCGTACTGCGTCCTGCGTGCACCAAGACCCTCAGGACAGAGCCCCCGGAGGGCCAGGGGGCGGGCTGGGGTCAACCGTCAATGTGGGCATGAGAGGAAGGCTGTGAACGGCGGCGAGTCCGTGGCAACGGGTTCCTCCAGGGAAGCTAAGCTCTCCGACCCCGTGGGCGGCGGCGGCGGCGAAGAGGGGGGAACGGGTGCTTCTGCAAACTCGAGAGCAATTCCCAACGGGCCGTCTTGTGTTGTGATGACATGCTGCAGCGGAGCGGGGCCGGGATCCCCGCCATGTTGCCCTACTCGTCCTATCAACATGCTCCCGCTGCGGACGATGCAAGGGCCTTTGGGGGCTGAACGAGTGCGTGCTGCCGCTGCTGCACCAGTGACGATGGCACGCTGAGAATCTGGGCGGTAGTCGACGACCGACGATTTCGGCTCGGAACCTACACTAGATGGTGACACGGCGGGTGGGTTGAAAAGCCGAAGGATTCCGTCGATGAGAGCACAGGAGCTCCCTGATGCCTCAGGTAATCTTCCTTGACAGACTGAGAGTACCCCACTCTCGGTTGATTATGTAAGGCATGGGGAACCGGAGACTTTCGGCCAAAGGCAGGGCCGCCGGTGGTCGTTGCTGCGCAATCGGGTTATCGGGATAAGCCGGGCTGCACGGGCCACAATCAAGCTCCACAGTGTCAGAGCTCCCCCAACGGAACGAACTCGGAGGTGATGGAACTCCTGTTAATTATTGAGCCGGCAAAAACGAGACCTTTTTTTTCTCCTTCCTCTCGTCCTTGGAGATCTTCTTTGGTTAATCTGGCAATAACTTCACGCACTCCTTCTCATCACCCATCGAGGTCATCAAAAGCTTCAATTGGCTCCGTATAAGCTAGAAATTGCGACTTAGACCGCCGTTTCTACTCTCCAAGACCCTTTCTCCAACCACCAACAGGAAAAAAAAAAAAACGCCCGCCATGCTTCGATCGGCACCAGCTCGTCGCGCCGCTTCCGGCCTGGCAAACACACGGCTTACCGTTATGCCGAGGACATGCGCAAAGAGCCTCTCCACATGCTCGACCCGATACACCTCCTCTTCCCCCGCAGCTCTTTACCCCGCGACGAACTCCAGATCAACAAACCTCACCAGCCCTTTCTCCCTCCAGAGAAGCATTCACACCACTGCTCCCAGAATGGCCGAAACCCGTACCGAGAGCGACGCCTTTGGCGAGATCCAGGTCCCCGCGGACAAGTACTGGGGTGCTCAGACTGAGCGTTCCCTCGAGAACTTCAAGATCAACCAGCCCCAGGACCGCATGCCGCCCCCGATCGTGAAGGCCTTTGGTATCCTCAAGGGCGCCGCCGCCACCGTCAACATGCGCTACGGCCTCGACGAGAAGGTTGGCAAGGCCATCCAGCAAGCTGCTGCTGAGGTCGCCGAGGGCAAGCTCCTCGACCACTTCCCCCTCGTCGTCTGGCAGACCGGCTCCGGCACCCAGTCCAACATGAACGCCAACGAGGTCATCTCCAACCGCGCCATCGAGATCCTCGGCGGTGTCAAGGGCAGCAAGAAGCCCGTCCACCCCAACGACCACGTCAACCGCTCCGCCTCCTCCAACGACACCTTCCCCACCGTCATGCACATCGCCGCCGTCCTCGAGATCGAGCAGGAGCTCCTCCCCTCCCTCAAGAGCCTCCGCGATGCGCTCCAGAAGAAGGTTGACGAGTTCGACGCCAAGCAGATTATCAAGATTGGCCGCACCCACTTGCAGGATGCTACTCCCCTGACCCTCGGCCAGGAGTTCTCCGGATACGTCGCCCAGCTCAGCCAGAGCATCAAGAGAGTCGAGTCCTCCCTGCCCGACCTGCGCCAGCTCGCCCAGGGTGGTACCGCTGTCGGCACCGGCATCAACACCTTCCAGGGCTTCGCTGAGGGCATCGCCGAGGAGGTCTCCAAGATGACCGGCACCAAGTTCGAGACCGCCCCCAACAAGTTCGAGGCTCTCGCTGCCCACGACGCCATCGTCCAGGCCCACGGCTCCCTCAACACCCTCGCTGCCTCCCTCTCCAAGATCGCCCAGGACATCCGCTACCTCGGCAGTGGCCCCCGCTGCGGTCTTGGTGAGCTCAACCTCCCCGAGAACGAGCCCGGCAGCTCCATCATGCCCGGCAAGGTCAACCCTACCCAGTGCGAGGCCCTCACCATGGTCTGCGCCCAGGTCATGGGTAACCACGTCGCCACCACCATCGGCGGCATGAACGGCCAGTTCGAGCTCAACGTCTACAAGCCCCTGGTCATCCGCAACCTTCTCCACAGCGTTCGCATCCTCTCCGACGGCATGCGCTCCTTTGAGAAGAACCTCGTCGTCGGCCTCCAGGCCAACGAGGAGAAGATTGCCAGCATCATGAAGGAGTCGTAAGTTGCTATTATTGTCTACAAGATTATGTCTTTGCTTGCTAACACTGTCACAGCCTCATGCTGGTCACCACCCTCAACCCCAAGATCGGCTACGACATGGCCTCCAAGGTCGCCAAGAACGCCCACAAGAAGGGCCTCACCCTCAAGGAGTCCGCCCTCGAGCTCAACGCCCTCTCCGAGGAGGACTTTGACAAGCTCGTCCGCCCCGAGCTCATGATCGGCCCCAGCGCTTACAAGCAGTAGAAGCGGCGCACTGGAGGTCGGTTGTGTTGAATGATGTTGCTGTTGTTGTTACGTGTTGATATAAAGTGGAGAGCTAACCCCAAAACCCACCACAAAACCTCCCCCCAACGCCTTGTGTAAAACTACCTACCTTGCGTAACGATATCCTGTTACCTGTGAAAAGGGAAACAATGCGGTCTTGAGCGATCCGTGTTTGTAGAATTGAAATCGTAAAACAAAAACATTTTCAAAATTCGCATTTTTTGCACAGAATGGGAGGATCATGTTGTCTTTTTTGATGACCCCGCCATTTCACATGTGATGTAATCCCGTACCCCGCACATCGCGCATCCGCGCGTCGCATGGCTGTCAAGACGACGACGTCTCACCGTTCGGACGGGAGGATTCATCTCGCATGCGTGAGCTTGAGCGCAGCACCGTCTCAAAAAAAATCCAGACCACGTGTGTCTTTTGTGGAAATTCGGGTGTGTAAGGTAATGTACAAAGTATGCACACTCTCAAGCGGACATGGCCAGCTGCAAATCGTGATCAGCACTGAGGGCTACTTTTTTTGACATGCTTTTCTTGTTAGTGATCGTGAGACACTTTCCCAGGGAGTCTGTTTGCCAATGAGTCGAGTCACGAGGTCATAAGAAATCGAAGATAGTGGTGAACGTCGAGTTTGAGTTTCGTGATACCATACGAGTTGCCGAATCGAGCCGGGTTTTGGTCCGGTCTCGTGATGCCATTGGCTGAGTGGAAACTCCGGGACGGCTACCACTTCAAGAGGGCAGAGCCAACAAAGTGGTCCGCCCCTTACACCTTCGTAATCACTTTTATCATCACCAAATCACGAATTTTGCGGAGTAACTTATGCCGAAAGCAATGATAGCTTAGAAGAAAAGTAGCGGCAAGGCCTTTGTTGGTTCAAGTAAGAGGCCCCCTAGTAAGTTCACAGCGTGAGGAGATTATGAGAGAGGTGGACCAAAAGAAAACAAGTGTTTCATTCGGAGTCTTCATTTACGAGGCGACTGTTGGTCAATCTTGAGGAATTCCTCCTCCGTCCAATGTTGCTCTCTCGCGAGGTAGAATGCCACGAAGTAATGGATCCGAAGTTTTATAGGTTCCAGAGGTTTAGATACGAGAATTTTCGGATCGACCTTCAGTTCCTCAATCGAGTATCGTACCGATCCGCGCTTCTCGAAAACATTGCAGCTCTCAACATGCTGTCATAGACTTCCCCAATTGAACCGTCAACGTTGTAGCCAAGCTTCCTGTCGAGGAGGACGCGGATGCATTGAATTGCACCTAGAGAAGCTGCGCTCTCAAGGACCGTTTCATCCTTGTGATTCCATAGGGTCAAATCAAGCTTGTGGTCCAAAAGCAACTCTAGTCCCTTAGCATTGTCGGACTTGAAAGCAGACATGAGGCAGCACAGAACTCCGTTGCCTCCGAAAAGTTGAGCTCCGTGGAATTCGAATTTGCAAGGTAGGTTTGGGTCCGCTGGGTCCGCTTCCCAATCCAACAATGTCGAAAGAATATCGGTGGAGGACACACCATCACCAACCACCTCGCACAAAGGTGTATGTACATAGCGAAGGTTAGGATCCGCCCCCCTCGAAAGCAGCATTTTGACGGTACTGAGAGTGCCACATGCGTGATGTAATGGATACTTATTATCCATATCAAAATGGTGTTCGTCCATGACATTGATCTTTGCCCCGTTATCAATGAGAAATGAACAAATCTCGTCGTATCCGTGCCTTGCAGCAATGGATAGGAAAGAGTCTGTCTGTCCAGGTGTTGCTTCGTCGAAAACATACCCAATTCGGCGCAGATGCTCTAGTAAGTCAAGTGACCCTAAGTCGCAGGCTGCGAAGACAGGGTTGCACCATGGCTGCATTTCCTCATGATCCTTCAACAGCCACTTTCTCCTCAGTGCCCCCTTACCATTCAGATCACTTTGATATCGAAAGCTCGAAGTATCGGCAGTGGCACCAAGACCTAGACAATACCCCAGGACTCCCGAGAGTTCCTGGGTTCTGGGGCGCCGTTTGTATATACTTCGGATAAAGTCTGGCCAGCTGGTATGGGCATATGCAGATAAGGTGAAGTTGGCATTGGTTGCTGCGGGGGACATGAGAGGCTTCATGTCCATCAAGAGTGGTTGACAACGGGAGTACCATAAACTTGCACGCAGATCAGCGCTTCCTTTGCCTATGTAGCTCCCCTCTTCTTCATCTCTGTGCTCTCTTGGTAAAGACGCCTGTAAGAGCAGCGACGTTGCAATGTATAGTTCACTGTTTTCATTTTCCTTCCAGTGTTTGAGCTTATTGTCGAAAAATTCTGCGACTGAGGCATGCGGAAATCTCCAATTCCAATGTTTTGCATTTGTGGCGCGTTCCCCTGAGGGTATCTCTTTAAAGATGATCAGATGACGACATATGTCGCCTAGTTCAGCCTCCTTGATGCTGTCATTGTCCAAGGCAGCCTCAAACTCCTCATGGGTCTTGCAGAACGGCAGTTTAACGACCTGAAGAAGAACCTTTGTCGGTAGCGGTACCTCGGCCCATCTGACCCACATAGCGGCTCTCATGAGAATGTCTAATGCGTGTCTGGCTTGCCGAGAGCATATCTCCTCGTAAGAGGCCACGAGGCCCTCTGGAAGCTTCATGAGTCGCTGCTTCACATCGATCTCTGTCCTCAACGGTTCTAACTGATCCCATTGCAGTTGAACCCATTTGAACCTGGTCGCACAGTGAACATCAGTGGAACTTCCGGAACTTGCAGCTGTAGGTAGCGGGCTCACATTCCACCATGTTTCTTGAGAAGAGTCTCTCTCACAAGTGACTGAACACTTTGTCTCTTCCAAACAGGGCTAAGACCGACTTGGCTGAGCTTGAGGTCAATGTATTTCTGAATATCTTTATGGTTGTCCGAGGTGCTGATCTGAATGCAAGACGACGTCTCCATTAACTCAATTACATCGGTTTCTGGGCGACTGGATATGAACACTTTGACGGGCCGGTCAGAGTCTTCGATCAACTTCCGGAAAAAGCTCATAATCTGCGTTCTTGACCTCTGATCGCATTCGTCCAGAGCATCAAGAACCAGGATAGATCGCGGGTACGTGTTGACCAGTTCGCGTACAAATTGTTCGCATTCGGATATTTCTAAACTTCGTCGAGACGCCGCAGCATCTTTGCAAAACATGAGAAGTTGCTTGTGCCATCGATCGCGGTGGCGTGACACCGCCAAGAGCTGCACGATATAGCTGCTGAGAATAGACTTTATATCTTTTCGGCCAATCAGTGAGCGATCGCAGTAAAAGTGAGCAAAGCCTTCATCGTTCTCTGATGATCTCAAGGTATCGCCAGGACGACACCGATAGCGATCAATCACTTTAGACGTCAAGAAAGACTTCCCAGCTCCCACTTTTTCTACCAATTAGCACTACTTTACGCGAAAAGGAGGATGCTTGGCATACCTTGGCCGTTGAGCCATAGGATTGATGACGAGCTTGGTTCTTCCCACGCAAGGAAGCTCGGATGCTGTATAAGCCATTCGCAGGTTCCCTCAGTCCTTAACTCTTTTTTGGCGACGTGAATCTCATCAACCTTGATGTCACTGATGTAGTTCATGGCATGCTCTCTGTCTCGGCTATCGATATCCTTGAAACAGTCTAGAAGCTGCACTATCCTATCGTCGATTCGTCGCAGAGGGCTGTGAAGGCTTTGCAACAGCTCGAGATTCCTCTCTGTTGACTCGCAGACGCAAGCTTCTGCGTTCTTCGAGACGTCATTCTCCGCGGTCGTCAGGTCTGATAACAACGATTCTGCGAGGTCTGGGTCAGTGAGAGCCGTGAGAAACTGCGCTGCCCAGGATTCTTGTCCGTTTAGCTGAGTTGATGTCGTGGCTAGTAAGTCCAGAGAGGATCTGTACAGCTCAATGACAGAGTCCCTCAGGAGCACTCTCGAGGGTTCTGTCAAGTTCGCGCTAGAAAGGCCGTACACACATTCGTATATCTGACCCCGTCTGACAACGCTGAGAATGCGGTCGGCGACGCCAAAAGCAGCAGTGATTTGTTCAACTCGACTTGTTTCGGCCTGTACCAGTCAGCAAGACCCAGTATCTGATAGGAGTCCGTTTGGGCGAGCCTACTTGCAGGAGCACTCTGAGTGCTGACCACACCGGCGAGACTGGCACAGGGGCGAATGGTACGCTGATGTCGCCGATCATAGTCACCCAAGCCACAACTCGATTCGCATAGTCCCTCCACAAAATGTTCCGTTCTCCGATTTTCAGTCCTGAACTGGCATCCTGGTATGTTTCTTCGCTTTTCCTGACCAGTGTCGTCAATTCTTGGACTCGGATGGTACTCGAGCGGTCGATGCCGAACTTTCCCATCCAAGACTTGGTGTCTTGATGAGTCTTGTTGAGCGCCTTATGCCATAGGTCGACTGGCGCGTTTTCTTTAACGATGATAGGTTGATACTTGACGAGCTGAGCGTCTGAGGAGGGCGCCTCAACATGTGCTTCGGTAGACTCTCGACTGTGTTTGCTGTCGGCGTCTGTGTTTCCGGTTCCTGCGTGTTTGGATGAGATTGACTCGGCCTTGTCGTTCGAAACGGAATCACCGGCAGACTTGGTCGGCGACTGTGGTTTTGGTTCATATGGAACGGCTGGCTTTGGCGTCGGTCCTGGTGAGGCGGAAGGCTTCTTCTTCGATCCGAGATTGAAACAAGAGATCAAGGCAGAAACGCAGCTGGACTTTGTGCCCTCGGAGGACTTGGTTTCTGCCATCATGGGTGTATGAAACACTGCTGTTCAGACACCCCAACTGGCCCACTAGTGACTCGGGATCGAAAGGTCTGCCCAGAGTTGTGATGAGCTCTGTGTCGATTGGCGCATCTAGTATTTGAAACTTTGGCGGAAGTAACCCAAAATATAGGTTACGATAGTGATCGTGGTTTCATAGTATACCACAAGTATTGAAGAATTGAGGCGAAAGATAGGCGTGACATGAGGAGAGTCCGAGGTATGTGATAGCCCGGGGATTCGCCAAAAGCCTGGGAAGACTGCGGTTAGAAAAGGGGCCATGAGGCATCCATACATGCAGGTCGCAGCGCTTAGCTGCATCATGACATGAGTCTTCCATCCAATAGTTGTACGTGAAGCCATCGACCATCATGCTTCCCGCCGATAATCACACTCTCTGATGGCGCATCGCGAGTAACTACACGCGGCTATCAATTGCCCCATTAGAGTTGCATCATGGGCGAAAGTAGTTGCGTCTTCCGAAATATGACGAAGCCAAGAATATGGTAATTCTGAGTTTCGCACACCAACGGAGATGCAAAGGAGGGGTTGGTTGGACCAGTGTTCAGATCTGCAGCCTACTGATGCTGGGACTTACAGCTGTTGGTTGGGACAAGGTACACTGCAACCTGAGCTCTCATAACAAATGCCTCACGGATGAACGTCACAGCAGAATAAAGAGGCAGATGAGACACGATAAGTTGCGTCAAACCAGGTATTGAGTTGAAGCCGCAAAGCCTGATGAGCCTCACTACACTGTACTAATGACCACAGAATACTAGGGAGATAGTCTTCCGTACTATACCACGATGACCTCTGCGTCTTCACGTAACACCTTGATGGATCGAGACTCGTCAACAACCCTCCTAAAGGCTAGTGACCATTGGGATACCATTCGTCTCTGTACTTCGAGCAGAACAGAAAGAAGCTAGTAAATTTATCATATGTATTGTATACACTCCATAGTAGGCTATCACGGCATTGTTGCATGCTGTCTCCTTCACACCTAAGGCTTTAAGCATGGTGTCCGCATCCAGGCGAAGTCCGTAACGAAAGACACGTCCGACAACCTGTATGTGTAATGAATTGATATCTGCGGGAAGGAGTATCTTACATTCTCTTCCTAAGAGTCACAAGCCTCGACGCCATTCATCAGACTAGCAAATGGAGCCACAACGTCTTCAAAGCTTGACACTGTTCTACCACGGACGTTCCTTACCGACCACATATCGAACTCTAGTTACTCGACCTTTCTCCGATACTCCAGACGTAAATATAAGTCAAGCCAAGTTTTCTGAACCCATCCCAGATTCCTATTCATTTGATCTCACCTTAAACCAATCCCAAATTACAAAGCGAAAAAGATATACCAATCACAGGGAAAATCTGACCACCCATTACTCACAACATGGCATCCAAAATCAACCTCGCCATCCAGCGACTCGCTATGCCCACACTCAAGGCCATGGTCGCCCCAGCTACCAGGCTCGACATCCAGCAGCCACGTCTCCTCTCAACCACTGCAGCCCTGACCAAGAGACTTACCCCCTCCGAGTACCGCTGCTCCGTAAGGAGAGCCCTCGAGGAACGCAAGACGCTCACCAAACCAATGCCAAGCGCCTTCACCTGGCCTCATCGGACGAACGGGAAAGAAACCGTCAGATCTGGGCCCCTCAGTGGAACCAATCCCCTAAGAAGAGTCAAGGCTCCCAACCCAGGTCTCAACCAAGTCAACAAGACGGAGCCGATGCAGAGCGCAATCATCCCCGCGTCTCCCATAAAGATGTCCGACCTCAAGAAGAAGCTCCCCAGCGGCTATCAGGGAACTATCAAAATGGCAAAGAAAGTAAACGCTATCCCCGTAATGTGGAAAGTCGCCGGCCTGACGGCCCTCGCCTCCCTCGGCACCTACGGCGCCATCGGGCAATACCAGACCATGTTGGAGGCAGAGGCCAGAAAGAAGAGAATTGCGGAGGAAAACGAGGCTTGGAGAAGATATGAACAGGAACTGTGGGAGAAAGGAAATTCCATATCGCCTGCCTCGGGCGTGCTCAACGATGGATCGTATCCCTTTGCTTTGTTTTACCACTAGTAAGGCATGGGCGGGGTGGGTAAGTTGTGATATGGGGAAGTATGAGAGGGACGTCGCGCCAGAGAATCCAGGCTCGTCCTCGCTAGTTCCGTCATTTCCATATTAGATATGAGAAAATTGAAGGTCCAAATGCAGGCCTTGCGACGTGTAAGTATCGTGTGAGGTCAATACCTGTCCTTAATACCTGTTGTCCATCCTGTTTTTGGGCCCACAATGTCGAGCAGATATCCGATGAGTTTAGCAGCCAGCATCATTTCATGGTTTGGTCGAATCCAAGACCGATGTCGCCGATGCCATGGTCAAAGACATACCTTGTCCATCCGTTTCTCTCCACTCAACTCCCCTGAGAAGAACTATGGCATAGCTTGACTACAAGCAGATATGTCCAATGCTTATCTGAACTTGCTATTGACTGCATGATTCCCCTTGACTACTTACCCCAAGACCCCTCTCATCCACCCCTCACCCACCAAAAAGCACCCAGCGGTATCCTACTCCACCCATCGTCACCAACCACAACAAAACGACGATACCTTCACCCAAAAAGAATCCAAAAACATACAACACCAGGTATTCGCTGGTCGTCACCGACCCAACTACTAATCCGGCCCTCATTGGCTTATCTATGGGAGAGCGGACGGGATCCCGAGTTTTCCAATGGGTATGGTCGTATGTGGTGGTCTGAGCAAGGGGAGGGGCTGATATAGGGACATTGAGATGAGTTCCTTCGTTAGGAGGCTGGCCAACACAACAACTCAAGCAAAACTGACTGTCAATTGCCTTGTGAGTAATTCTGGAATCTTGCATTTATCATAAAGTGGGAGGGAACTTGCGGTGCTGGGGCAAAGATTGGGGAGCTGTTTGATATGGCCGCATGAGGGGTGTCGTGATGATGGTTTACGGTTCACGCTTTGGACGGACGCAGCACCCGTAGGTATTTCGCTGCCCTCTACCTCTACCAAATCCTTGTAAATGAATTCACTGAAAGGGAAAAAATCTAAGAGAGACGCGTGTATGAGCTCGAAGTATCGCAGGCGCGCCTCAACCTCCGGCGACGGCTCTGATAGGTCGCACCTTGGAGTGATATCACGTTCCAGTCTTTGAGAGTCTTTGAGCCGGATTACCGAGGGCGGAACTTAAATCCCGGGTTCGTCAACCACCACCGCAAGAACAGGAACATATTTACGAAGTATTCTAATGTTTTTTTTCCGTATCAATTAGTCCCATTTCAAAGGTCGCTTAGAGACACCATTCAACCCGGGAGGTGGGGGGAGTAGTCGATGGCGGATCACGGCACTTCGGCAACATTGCTATAAGGTAGACGGGCCGCAATAGCCGCTATCTCATCGCCAGTCACCTTATCAGACGCCGGGAAGGTGGGCTGGAGCACTTCATCTGACTGCGTGACAAGGTTCTACTTCAACTACAATTCTTGCATGTGCAATTCCGAGAATACTGGCTTTCGAGGCGGTATTTGAGATACAGACATGGTGCGGGCATAGTACTATGGAACGTCTCCTTCGCTCACCGCAACAGATACACGAGACCCATTTCTCAACCGTGCTTCATAGTTTGAGGTTATGGTAGTAGGTTGCAAGACTTCGGATTAAGTAGATCAGTCCATCCAAGCTTGGAGATTCTGGTTCCTCTTCGGTGTTCTGCAACCCGCCGACGCCGGCTCAAATCCAGAGCCGCCCTCTTCTCGTGAAGATTCAATGTGATTGTGATTATCCTGGCCATTTACTTGCCGCACTCAAAGTTCACAGAGATGAAAGGGCACAGATAGGTTGATTGTTTATGAGTTTTTCTTGTTTTTTAATTCATGCCGTTAACCAGCGCCGCGCTCAATACTAGTAAGAAGATGGTATCGCAATGTCTAGTAATCACATTAAAGTAGTCCGTAAGTCCTGAGACTCGTTGGTGTTGTTGTTTTCGTTTTTCTTTTTTCGTTTCCCTTCCTGGGTTAAACCATTTGCATAGAATCATGGTCTCGGTTCTTCGGCATCCTGCTCCTCCTCGTCATGGTAAGGCATCGAGTCACATCGGAACGATGGTGTTTTGCACGCCTTCTCGTCCACCTCTAGCCGGATCACTCCTTGCGGGTCATAGTGCTGGCGTACTCTGCGTTCTTATGTTAGTCGATTGCACTTTGATAGCTAGTTGACGCATGTGAACTCACCCTTGGAAGGTAGTACCGACAAACTCCAGCACCAAAAGGACGAGAACAAGAGCGATGACGGCGCCGAGAACAATCAGATCAGGGTGCTGCTCAAAGATCCTCATCGTCGGCCGGGTGATTTGCTTCCAGGACGGCAGACGACCAGAAGGCAACAGTTCCGCCAGGCCATCCTTGAGCGACATTGGCGTGATCGTCTCAGGGGTTCCGTCGCCCACAACGTCCACCACTCTATCCTTGCCGTGAGGTGCCGGATGCCTTGACAAGGACTGGAGGTAGCTGGTCTTCAAAGGCCGCGGTGCGGCGAGGACGATTGACGGGGGCATGTCCTCGGATGGTGTTACTGGCTCGTTGTTGAACTCGGTTTCGATGTCATAGACGTCGGAGATGGGCCGTGTGCGGTGCATAGACACGCGTGTTACCCTCGTCAGACGACGTGCCTCGGTCTTGACGTGTGAGACCATGTCTGAAATGGTTGATGGGACGGGAGCAGCCAGGCCGAACTGGGTGAAGCCCAGGGCGAAGAGTAGTGATGAAGGCTTCATTTTCTTTTGGTGATTAGGGTTGGTAATTGGTGATTGTGGTGTATACAAGAGTTGGAGTCTTGATGCGCGAAGAGATTCCGTCTTTGTCGTCGTGTCTTATCTCAATCCTGTTTGTCGAGGGTTTAGATGATGTTCAGGTATGCTCGACTGGTAAGTCTGTTTCCCACGATGTCCGTCAATGTCGAAGTAGTTCCAGCCACAAAGAAAGCCTCCTGGTTCCTTTTCTTTGCCTTTCCTCCAACGAAGCAGGTCGTCTGAGTTGATGCGACTAGCCTGTTGACTTGTGCTGGATGTGTGCTCCAAGTACTACTGCGTCTGTAGCGATTCCACCAATATTCTCAAGCCAAGACGGTGTTCGGCAATTTACGATGATTGTAAATGACCAGTAGGGGATGTGGCAGTTCAAGGTGGAGGGCAGTGGTGTTGTATTAAGATGCTTGAATGGGTGCGGGGTGTGCCGAGACGTGAAGGGATATATGTCCAGGTCTGGGCAAGCCAATTTATTAGAGGAAAAGAGATCCGGTGACAGCGGCAGGGCAACCAGAGACAAGTCGAGGCGCGAAACCGAGCGCAGAAAAGTCAGCGTAATGGAGGGCGGGAAAGCTCGCAGGCGAGTGAAACAAAACAAGTAACGGGCTCTGGTGTGTTCCCAAGTTGTGAGGAATGAAGAAGATGGGACGGGGCGACTAATGGAAGATGTGAGACTCGGGGGCAGCGAGGAGGACCGGAAGGATAGACGGCTGAGAGCAGAACGGAAGAGGTAGGTGTTCGTGGGATTTGACGTGCCAAGGCGAGCGAGGTCTGAAAGTAATATAGGAAGAATAAGAGACACCCTCGACTCGTCCGGAGTGAGGAGAGATGGGGTCTGATCAGAAATGGGACTGGGTATCCGTGAGTAGCTGCAAGTATGTTTGTGCAGGAGACAAGAGGCATGGGGCGGGTGAGGTGGTAATGTGATTATGTATGATCCAGAGCAGAGAGACAGAGAGAAAGGAGAGCAAACCCAACCTTTTACGCATTGGGATTAACATGACATTAGCCTCACCCAAGACGGCGGCGTTTCTGTTCGCACCTTTTGGCCCTCGCTCCGTCTTCTCTCGAGAGAGACCTAGCCAGCCCACTGCAGCCAGCCATCAAGGGCCCAGGGCCTTGCTCGTGCTCCTTGTCTAAGTCTCTCTCAGATCCCCTCTGGTCTGTTCTCTGCTTTCCCTCACAAAAAGCGGGTGCTGGGGGACCGGCCGCTGTCCCCCCTCTGCCTTCGGGCGGCAGGCCAGGACCAGGATCTAGGCTCAGCCAGGGATGCAGGGATGGTCTGGACCCTGTGGGCTGCGGTGCACCCTGTTTAATGCAGCAAGCGGGTGTCTCGATTCAAACATGGTCGGCCGCAAGCTTCTTTTCTCTCCTGGACCTCGCCAGGGCCTGTCCTGTCCATTCGTACCTCACCATAGCAGCATGCCTACTGTGGTGACTCTGGTGAGGAGGTGCGCCCAGGATCGTTTGTCTTTAAGCTCCGGCCCCCAGTGTGAAGAAGCAAGGGCGACTGGCGAGTGATTTGCTGCTGCGCTCTCTCCGAAATGGACAGATGGGATGGGATAGGCACGCACGGAACGGCAACGGCAGCGGCACACTCGAATGATGACTGACTCTGGAGGCCTGTAACAAGAACGAGGAGAGAGCCTGCCGAGTAGCCGATCTCGAGCGCTGTGTTCTGGCGATCTTCGTTTCTTTGCATAGAGTTGATAGGCCCGCGGGCCTTGCGGCTCTGGTTCTTGTCTGCATTCTTTTCGGTACCCGGTTTGCTCGGCCCCCTCCATCATCCATCATCGGTGAAAAACGAAAAAGTGAGATGCGACATGGAGGGCCACCTCAAAGCACGACTCCATAATCATGAGCAGCTCGGTTTCCAAATCTTTTCTCCTGTATCCCGATTTAGGATCGAACGACGAGGAGCCAAGGTGGACGCGGGGGTGAGCTGGATCGTCTGCACTACCACCTCGCCCAAACCCAAAAGGCGCGTTAGTTGGCGGGTTACTGCGTAGCAGGCAGGCAGGTTTGGTGAGGTCCCCTGGATTTTCCCTTCCGCTGCGGATTGCCCATGCCTTTCTCGGGTTCTGCAGACCATAGGGCACCAACCCACACGATTATTGCCAGGGATGGTCAGTGTTTGCACGGGCAGCTCAAGGGGCCGCGGGATTCGAGGGACGCGAGAATATGGAGAAGGAGACCTACTACGCAGACAGACTTGAATGCGAGAATGAGACTGCCCAACAACCTAGCAGAATCCCAGAGACTCCAGACTCCAGAGTGCAAATACCTGAAGAGGAGGTAATCCTTGCCAGTAGATCTCATGTGTCACGGCCGAAGGCCGGACGGGGGGTTCCATGCGTAGATTTGCTTGTCGACCGAGGTTGAGAAGAGACGAAAGACATGAAAGACAAAAAAGGCGCCTCCCTATGGAGTCTGTATGGATTCCAATTGGCATGTCAGGGGAAAGACTCGACGGTTGCCGTCACAGGCTGCGGGAGGGAAGCCAGGTTGTTAAGTCAAGCTTCCACTCCGTTGTCTCGTCTAATTTTGCCAATGGTCGAAAGAGGAGGGGGGACAGGCAGGAGAAGTGCAGGAAAGTAACATCGAGAGCGAACGAACAAAGCAAGCTATTGAAGCTGAGAATGCAAGCCCGCATCTGCTCTGCGCCGGCGTCTGGTCAGCCCAACATCTGTACGGAATACTTGGTGTAAGCGATGCCCCCATCTCGACGGCACATTGGCCGATTGTGTGCTGTGATTCGTGGGCGCGCTTTCCCAGCTGTGCTTCCCCCAATGATTCCCACCTTCCCTGCAATAGTTGCTATTGAGGCTGCAGCTTCTCTCGCAAGCACGACAGCTTAAGGTACCTTAATTACCTACTCCATGGCAGGACCAACGGTTACCTTCCGTACTTGCCCACCTCAGTTTACCTCAGGTATTTTGCGAGATAGGTAGGTACCGCTAAATGCACACTTTGTAGTTTGTACCTTGGTCTGTCCGAATATTCGTACCGGAGGAAGTGACCTGGACTTCTCTTTCCCACTTCTCACATCTCACGGCGCCACAGGAAGAAAAGGAAGAGAATCAAGCTTTCCTCGAGTGATCCCTCGCAGCTTGGCCAAACCCCCCCCCCCCCCCAGTGCCCCCGTCTGGATCCTCTGTGCCCCTCAGCTCTCATTTCCCACCTTCTGCCCGTCCACAATTGCCAACGGGAGCACGTGGGCAAAGTTAACCCTGTGCGAGTCTTGACTCTTGACTTTCTGAAGAGATGGCAGCGATCAAAGCCCACCAGGAGCCTTGCCTTTCTTGGCGATTCCAAGACGTACGAGAGAGCGAATCACATAATACCACCCCCCCCCCGTCACAACCGGACTTCCCACAGTGTCCTCTCTCCAGCTCCCTGACTATTAAGTCTTTGCACCCAAAATATCGTCGCCTCCAGCCGCAGCCCACCGGCACCCATCCCATTGAATCTCGCGGAGAGAAAAGAAACGACCAGGAAAAGCGAAGAGAAATGAAAAAAGACGAGCACACAAATCATCCCCCTTGCTCTGCCGCAGCTGAAGGAGATACCCGTCACCTATCGAGACCACAGAGATGAAGAAGACGGAACCCAGTCGACAATCGTCTTCCAAGCCACAATAATGGACACTGACTATTCGGCTTATTTTTCCTCCATGATCCCCAGGTAATAGACTAATAGTCCATGTTCATGGCACGCTTTCCCACGGAAATGGGTCCATGGAATTGCGCACGGCACGCGGGATTCCGCCTCTCCTCTACGGATAAAGCTATGGACTATAGCGCGCTTTACACCTGCCTGTCCGTGGTCACCGTCCTTGTTGATGGCCTACTCAGCGAATCAGTTATCGTCTTCGATCGTATGCCGATGGCCCCTGTCGATTTGGCGTGTCTAGGATGCTTAGTCAAGCCTCCGTCCAGCCAGCCAGTTCTCACGATGCTTGGCGCTTCCGTGGCTGCAGTCCTCGTACAGACGAAATTGCACCCAGCTGCGCCCTATACCACGGATATGCACACAGTATGCTGCACAAGGCGGCCATCCAACCAGCGCCAAGACACTGCCTCTTCCCCCAAAAAAAAAAAAAAAAAGAAGAAGAGAGCATGTCAGCAACACTTCAATCGTCAGCAATGATCTTCTCAATTCATGCAATCATCGAGTTGCTCTGGGGCTGGGACGGCAAAAGTTCCAAATCAACTTAGACTCTACCAACGCCAGAGACACCATCATGACAACACCAGCCAACGCCTAATGCGACGGTTTCTCTGTCCAATGCCAGGCGGGAATTGGCGCCAAAGCCAAATCGCAGCTGGCGAACCCAAGCAATGGATCTACGCCAAGGATCCACTGATTAGCGCTCCGGTTCCATTGCTTGGACTTCTTTTTTTGAAATCACCACACCACAGGCGCGGCAGATGCCGACATAGCTTCTGCCAGCCGCTATCAAATAGTGTGCACATTCGCCATTTTGGTTGCAATGTAGTGACTGAAGACACCGCGGAGCTGTCTCTCTTCTTTGGGACCATGGCCGGCTCGTCGCCAGGGTCACAATCACAGGGTGACCGCAACCAAACGGAGCAAGCATTGACGAAGGAGAAACATGAAATCCCCGTCCTGGGAAGTTGGAGCCTGCCTCCTAGGGAGTTTTGCGACAGTTTGGACTGTTTCGTTCCATTGCAACCGAGGCCCACATCGGCAGCAACTGCGAAACCCGCTTCTTCTTGCCCTCCATGGTGAGGTTGTCTGAACGTCAAAACGGTTTCAACAGATGCTCTCAGACCAGCCCACCGTCCATGGGCACGCAAAAGCACGGGATGCCGTGGGAATGAGACTTTGATGGACCCCGAACCCGCATACCTCTTGCTTTGCCAAGCCCGTCCGGCAAGACTTGCAACAGGAAAGCAACGTTTCTAATCAAGGAGGTCGAGCCGAATTGTCGCAGATGGCCCGCTCGTTGATGTCATGTTGCTCTCATGCCTAGGTTTGGAGGAAAGGGGAAAATGGATCGTCGATGCCAGCCCCGACTCACTCAGAATCGTCCCATCGAGCTGATGGTGAGGCTATTCGCACTAGTACCGCCGAAACGTCAATAGGTAACTCGAGCCCCTTGGGCCAGAGTCAGACCTGAGCTGGTCTGACTGCCCAAAGACACTCCCAGCAGCACCCACTGCCTGGCCACCTATCAGTAGTATCGCCCAGCAAAGGGCAGCGTGGGCGCTCTTCCGGTCGGCCCGCTAAAGTTCCAAAATAAGCAGTCCCTTCCAGGCGAACTATCAGTCTTCACAGCGCCCACAGGGCATGCCTGCCATCGCTGCAGCCTGCCACACTCCCGGCCTAGTCCCTGTAGGGCGCGCCGAAGAGTCTGGACCACAGGGCCTTGACCATGCCAACGCGGAGGGGCGCATGGCACGGGAAGGGGCCCAGAAGATTGGTAAGAGCACCAAAAGAGGGACAGACGATGGACAGTGTGACAGCCTACCTCTATCCGTATGGATCTAGGAATCGCCGACGAGCACACGACCACTAAAGCGATGCAGGATAATGTCGCCATTGACCGGCTATGGGGTGAAGGGAATATCCATTCAGCCCTCAGGAACGCAGCATGAGGGTCGATTCCAGTGGGACAGCCAATCAGCCAAGGATAAGCAACGAACAAGCTTTGTGCCGGTGCGGGCCTCCCTGCAAAGAAATTCGGGGCCATCTAGGCAGACAGAAATGAGACTGTCCGGCTTCAAAATGCTTCTGGAATTGCTCTTCGTATTCCCCCGGGCACAAGGGTTTGACGGGGAACGGTGTTGCCGGTGGTATCCTTTGAGCAAATGCTGGCGGTGCAGAACAGCGAGGTGGGACTCCGTAAAGAGGCCCCGTTTCTCTCGGAAATCGGGCACCTGTCGAGCGGATGCTAGTGCACCGCTAGCCTCGTGGTCAGGTCACTACAGTATAGTAGGTGTGCTGTCGTTGGACTGGTGTTGGACCGTGGTGGTGGTGTTCAGAATCCGGGGCTTGGGATGCCGCGGGTCGCGATTCTGAACGCATTCGGATGCATTGTTGACAGTGGTGCCTGGTGTCTTTGCATCGCCACGGAAAGTTAGGAACGACGACAGTTCCCTTTCTTGGGGTTCCATGGGGCATGGACGCGCAAGCTACCGTGGTATTTGGGTTTCCAGGAGGATGGGAAAGTCTCCGAGAACTGGGCTGTCGTGTGTCGAGAAGGGGGCCGCGGATCGTAAGTGGTTCATGACGGGAGCTGCGTGTCCACGACAGCGTCATGAAGAAGACGGTTAACTTGGTTCTAGCTTCTGGGTAAGGCGAACGCGGACGCGGACGCGGATGTAGACGCAATCCGTGGCAGGGTTGTACATAGTAGGCATGCATCTATTCCTTCCCATGATCCGTCTACGATCTGTCCGCGTATCCATGAAGCTTAGATTACTGCAGACGATACTTTGGACAACAACCTTTACCTTTGCAAGTTCGGTGATGGTTCCGAGACTCTACTAGGTACGTACGGAGTACGGAACGACAGATAGTCTACTCGGACAAAAGAAGAATTAAGCTTGAAGTAGCAACTGTGGTTGGACGGACGGGATATTTCCCAGATTTACTACCCTCCATTTTGAAATCATCTTGAGGCAATACCTAGCAATGCGCAGTAGATGCAGCATTCAGAATCCAGCTGCAGCAGTAGACACACCTTTCCCTTGATGGACTGCGGAAGACGCTTCTTTCGGCCACCGATCAGTCTAACTATCCTTCGTATGCATTTTTTTTTTCTTTAAAGTTACCGAATCCAGCGACTTGGTCCGGGCGACGCACCCTTGTCGAAATCGACTGACTCGGCGTCCCTTCCCCACCAATGTCCTTTCCCCGTCCGTGCACGCACCCTTTTTTTTGTGTCGTTCTTGACTCCTTCCTAGAGTGCCCTCCCTGGCGTGGCCTGGCCCCCCTTGGCACTTTCTTTCACTTCCTCTGCCACTGCCACTGCCTTCCTGGCGCGCATTCTCCGTGGCTCCAATCAACTTGGTCTGCAGCCTTGCGCCGACTTCAGTCTATCGCGATCGCGAGGCTGAGAAAGGTCTGGGTCAAACGCCTCAAACAGTCATCACCAACACGCCCCATTGAGTCTTGGTACTCTTGTCGTTCCTTTACACTGAGGCCCTCAAGGGCAAGCCGCGCCTCATGTCCCCGACAACACCAACGGACTTTGGCTCCTTCCCCCCGCCCCTCACCCGCTCCTCCACCCTCCCGACGGCCCTCAGCACCGGCACCACAAACAGCAGCACGAACAACAGCACCACAAACTTCCACCAGCAGCGCCAGGACAGATCCCGCCTCGCTCCCGAAGATGCCTTCCTAGCGACATCCCCGCCACGCCGACCCGTGCCCTCCTTCCCCGATGTGTCCACCCTCGGCGCAGACCACCGCGCCGCCCGCGCACGCCTCCGTCACAATGCCGCCTCTGCAGTCGCTGGAAGCCACCGCTCCCGCTCTCGCCGGAGTCGCAAGCGGACCTGGAAGAAGCTCATGTGGGTGAAGCAGAGCTACCCGGACAACTACACGGACCAAAACACCTTTCTCGAGAGCCTCCAGCGCAACCCGCGCCTGCAGCCCTACGACTTTTGGCCCCTTGTCGCCGACTCGACGGTGATTGTCCAGCATGTCTGTTCCGTCATCCTCTTCATCGTCTGCTTCGTCCTCATATCCCAGGAACGCGTGTCACCCGTGTCCATTGTGTCGTTTAGCAGCATGGCGACGTTCTTGGGGTGGCTGCTGTGGGAGCGCTGGGAGGCCGACGAGGAGCGGAAAGAACTGGGTCTGGCGGGCGGCGGCAGCAGCAGTGCCACGGCCGCGGGGCGGAGGTTGGAGCCGAGTCGAAGGACGGGGAGTTTGAGGCAGCGGAGCCCGCCGCTGCATGACGATGGTAGTGCCGCCGCGGCTTCGTCTGCGGCTACGACGGCCACGAGCTCCGCGACGAATTTATCGAGTACCGCTGGCGCAGAGCGGCCTCGTCTGGCGCGGCATTCGCATTCCGCCTCCGCGAGCTCCCTTATTTCTTCCACGTCGGCGACCTCGCAGTCCGTCTACCGCCGCTACAGCCAAGAAGTTAACAGCAGCATGCCTCTCCCGCGGCGATCCTCTTTCCCTCTGCCAGGCGACGACAACAGCCGCCTCAACCAGCGTCTCAGCACCGTCAAGAGCGCTATCCTCATCTACTCCACTCTTCTCGGCCTCTCCCCCATCCTCAAATCTCTCACAAAATCGACCTCAAGCGACAGCATTTGGGCCATGTCCTTTTGGCTCCTGACCATCAACATCTTCTTCTTCGACTACTCGGGCGGCGTCCGCGTCAACATCCCCGCCTCGCTCTCCACTAACGCCGCACTCATGGCCTCGACGGTGCTCGCTTCGCGGCTGCCGTCCACGGGTCAGGTCTTTAGCCTCACGCTGTTCAGTATCGAGGTCTTTGGGCTGTTCCCCGTATTTCGGCGGTATGCGCGCCACCGGAGCTGGGGGTACCACTATGCCATGACGGTGTTTCTCGTGCTTGGCGCGGGTGCCGGTGTCGGGGTTATCGTGGGTGATAATGGCGGCGTTGCTGCTGGTAGTTGTGCCGGTATGGGGATATCCTGCTGGCCTTGGAAGGGCGCCGTCGCGGGCATGGTTGTCAGCGTGCTCATCTCCGCGATTGCGATGGGCGGGTGTAGTTGGTGGCTGATTGGGTTGCAAAAGTACAAGAATGAGATTTATGGGCCGTGGGATCCGGCAAGGCCTATCATTATGAGTCGACGGCTTTGGGATGATGGGTAAGATACCTAGGTAGGACATTATGAGTAGTAGTGTAAAGTAATTTGATGAGAGATGTTTTGGACAAAGTTGAATCATGATATTGCGGAGAAGTGATGTTGAGACTGGCTAATGAGTGTGTGCTACTGGATTCTACGGCTTCGCGAGATATTGCAGCTCTTGGACCTCCTCGTCGCCACCCTTTGACTTTACTTCTGCGGCGTTGCGAGGTAGGCTACTATCCGACGCCGTCACTTTTTCCAACTCCCGAGTCTCTGGTCTTTCACTCGACATTTTGGCGATACATGCTGCGCATCAACCCCAGAAAAGGAGATAGAAGAAGACCCCGCACATCGCCAAGTCAGTGTCGGAGAGATATGCCTCGATGCTGTCCCCGGTGCTGCTCCCGGCGCTGCTCCTGTTGCTGCCCCTGGTGCTTTCTCCGGCGCCGTCGTATTCGCAATCATCAGTGAATATGGTCTCGCCGGCCGCAGACCTTCTCTCCAGTTCGGAGAGAATCTTGCTTCTACTGACCATACGCTCCGTGATGACGTTCAGGGCATTCACGTGAGACAAGAGCCGATGATTCTCTCGGTAGACGTGACTCGCTCTGTCTATCGAATCCTCCTGGAGAATGCCAAGGGCATCTAATTGAGATTCAAACCGTTGCGACCGTCGGGAGAGCTCCTTCCTATCTTCCTCGTCTTTGAGCTTTTTGGCGTCGAGAGACGACGTTATTGATGATGAGGAGGACGCTCTCCGCTGTGACGGTGTAGGTTGGAATGCTGATGTGAAGCTCGAGGATGCGGCTGTCATTGGTATGATTTTCGGCCACGGACATTGATGCGAGAGGGAGAAGAGCGGTTTCGGTCGCGATGTGCGCGGGGGACCGTCGCGGAGGCTGTAGCGGATGTACCTGTCGATGTCTGGGTGTACGACTTTGGCGTGGAGGGTAGATGTGTTTGAGAAGAGGCGGGTTTGTGGCGGTGCTGTGGTTGTGGTTGGGAAGGGTGATGGTCTTGTGATTATTCTGGGAAGGTGCCTCCGGAGAGTGTGGAGGAGGGTTTGGGAGGCCATCGTTCTGGTTTGGTATGAGATGTTGATTCTTGTTTTTGTCTTGATCGTGTTATGGTTCAAGTTGTCGAGGATGATGTCTGATATGTTACTTGCGCGGAAAACACTTGTGGTCATGAAGGATGGTAAAGTGTGTGACGGAGAGGGCATGAGCCTGAGGCTATGGAGGTGGTCGTCAAGGTTTTTGGTATACCTTGATATCACGAGAGTCATACCTTTGATATGACTCAAATTTGTCGCCATGTATGTTCCTTCCATGTCAAGTGTTGCAATTTTGTATCACAAATTATATGGCAGAATCTTGCTCTGCGTCTGGCTCGATGCGAATGAGCATGGCTTCGGAGCTCCCGTGAACTTTGGCAATGTTATTTGAGGGTTTGATCCATCTGTAGATGGCATAGCAATGAAATAGAAGCCGAGAACCTATCCAACCCAGCCAAAGATGTGTAGGTGAATGGAAAGGATGCGGGAGTGGAAACGGGACTCGACGACAACCTACCTCCGAAACATCTTGTTTGGTGGTTTAGAAAGGGGAACATCCGCCTTGCAATGGATTTGCGGTCTATATCGCGTGTGTTACGGTACTAAAGATATCAATCCCAAGCTTCACAGGCACCTTTGAACGTCAATGCCTTCAAAGGCCAACACCATCAATGATCAATACCATGTTCAACACTATCCTAAAAGCAACACTACGGCTTTACAGCCACTTGGCTACGAGCAGAATGATCTTCCCTGAACTCCAGACTCAGTCCAGAACCGCAAGAACTATAGAACTACATGAATGTCGCCCCATCAACACCACCAAGACACTATCAACCCCTTTCTCATCAGCACAAGAGATCCTCGAGGCCTCCATCAACTGCAACCAAAGCAGATTCGGCAGTCCTCACCAAGATAACCCATTCCAAGGCTTCATAAGGGGTTCAAGCAGAACCAAGGCGGTTTACAGGTATGAGGCGCCGAGACGGAAAGCCGGACAACAAGCAACATCTTCAACCACTTCCAGTTCATATCTCCCATGCTTTGGGAACTTTGGAGGTCTATTCACGCATGTCGTTGAGGCTCTGGGTAACCCGAGAGAACATGCAATCAATCGATGGACAGATCGAGAGGAGGAGATTGAAAGGCTGCCGGAAAATCAGGGCGCGATTATCAAACGTCTCCAGGCCGTGGAAAGGCGTCAGGAACTTCACTCGTATATGGCATACTGCATTGTGAGTGGCTTTGTGTTCGCGACTGCTCTTTTGATTCTCGTGGCGTTTGCTGCCAGGGAGATCAGAGGTAAGGGAAGGAAGGTAAATAGCGATGGTAGACCTTAGTCAAGGGCGGAGAAGCTTTCTCCCAAGCATTGAGATGACCATGTGACCAAATCATTCATACAATTGCATGGCTTGATTTTTCGTCGCGCAAACTGATGGCAGAAGGGGTCACGGATTGAGCATGCAGCAACACTGGCATGTAGAATAGATACCCCCCAGTATCATCAGGGGGCGATCAACTGCCGTATCTCTCAATGGCGAGGCATTGCAAAGATTCTAATAACAAGTAGAGAAACATGTGTCTAGAGGTCTAGTGCTTACACCAATGTTACATTGTACGCTGAACCACGTACATGCACCTTCCAACATGCAGGTCATGTGGCTGTGTGACATCCACACCTGCTTGAAGTAGACATATGCAGCCTGATTTTCCAACTCTCAGTCGTTCCTTCGCTTCACTGCTTAGCTTGACTGGCTCTTACACTTCATCAATCTAAAGCATACACCAGTCGATCAAAACTCTTTTTCTCTTTTGCACCATCTTGGAATCATGACTGAATCACTGGCGGACTACCAGTACCAGGCTCTTTCAACGATCGACTCCATACGCCTTCTAAGCGTCTCGCAAGACGACAATCATCCCCATGGACTCTGCTTGTCTCTCAAGGAGGTCAACTTGGATGATGAACCGATCTTTGCCGCGCTATCCTATACCTGGCAATTACCCAAGTATAGCAACTCCGAGCAGACACAAGAGCCAGGGCCGGGAAAGACGTTTGATGTTGTCTGCGACGGCAGGTCGATGGAGATATCTGAGAACTTGTTCGACTTCCTCCGCACCATCCTCGATTATCGGTGTCTATCGGGAACCAAGGCAGACAGAGCTTCCTCCACGACTCGCAAGTGTCTGTCCAAAGTTAGAACTGCTCTGGAAACCATGCCACTGTGGATAGACGCATTCTGCATCAATCAGGCCAACAGCGAGGAAAAGAAGCACCAAGTTCTTCTCATGCACCGCATTTACAGCTCGGCACAGAACGTGCTGGTGTGGCTGGGCCTATCAGAACCTAGCTCCGAGGTTCAGTGGATCCACGACAGATTCATTCCTCGTCTATCTCAGGCACGAAAGAAGTCGGAAACCATGAAGAAGCTGTTGCAGGAGGACCATTACTGCAGGAAGCCTGAAGTTCTCGACCAGTTGGGATATGACACATGTTCCCGGTGGGCCACGTCGTGGTTCATATTTGCAAAGTTCCTTAGAGAGAACCGCTGGTTCGATCGCGGTTGGGTCGTCCAAGAGGTTGCTTTGGCAGATCCAGCTCAAATTCACATCATGTGCGGAACAGCCGTCTTGAACTGGAAGCGCCTCGGGGCATTTATACAATTTCTCCACGAGGCTCGATGGAGCCACTCCTTGGAAACCCATATCGAACGATCTTTCGAACATGTGAAACTCATCTCCGAGATCCAATGCTTCAAAAAGCCGCGGGGTCTAAGCAGTAGGCATCTTGGCATCGGAGGTGGCCTGCACAAGATCAACGGAGTCCGACCCCTCTTAGCCGAGCTTGTGTACTACACGAAAATCGAAGGCTGGAACACGAAGTCGGAGTCCGCATGGCTTGCATGCGCCAGCTTCATTATATCCACTCTCCGCTCTTTCCAGTTTGGTGACGATCGCGACCATATCCACGGGTGTCTGGGTATGCTGTCGATGCTTCTCCCCCAAGGTTTTCCTAGCCCCATTATTCCTGACTACGACCGGAGTGTGGAGGATGTCTTCACATCTGTTGCAGCGTGTTTTCTCCAACGACTTCCCTTACTCTCGGAACTCAGACAGGTCGGGAAGGAGAAATCACGCCGGAACACCAAATTGCCATCCTGGGTACCCGACTATTCAGTACCAAATTTGACGAAAATAGATCGCCACAAGCGACTCGACGTGTCGACTAAGACTGAGGCGAGCCTCGATGTTTTAGAGGAGCACGAGAGAATGATATGGCGCTACCATCCAAGGAGGCCATCCGTCATTGGACACAAGCTTGTTTTGTATGGTGTGAGACTAGGCACTACGATGGGTAAAGTTCACGACCTCTTCACTCCAGAGTCTAGCTACGAGATGGCTTTGACGATGGTTAGCTTCTTTCGAGCCAGGCCATTCGAAGCCTTGTGCCGCCCTCAACTTAACATATGGAACAGGTTGGCAGCGGCAGTTCTCAACGAATGTTTGGAATTATACAACTTGCACTTGCAGCCCATGACCCCTGGTCACTGTCTCACACATCAAACGGTCGATTATTACGTTCCGGGACGACGAGAATTTGTCCACAAACGACTCAACGGGTCCGTGGTAGGAGCATTAATTCAGAACGAAATCTATGAGTGGGTTAAAATATTTGAGAGCAATTTCGGGAGCAAGAGTCCCCGCTCTCCTCTACGTCCTTGCCCATTACATGTAGATACCAAGGTCTGGGAAGAGCTTGAGAACGAGTGCTTTTACCACACATCTAGAGGGAGTTTTGGACTGGGTTCCCCCTCCTCAGTACCGAATGACCAGATCTGGCTGGCCGAAGGTGCTTCTGTTCCTTTTGTTCTCCGGGAAGTCATACCTGTGCCAAAGACTGGTCAGGAGGATTCCCAACCTCGAGAATTTCGCTATGTTGGAGACATTGAGCTGTCTCATCTCGACATATATTCCAGTCACTTCACCCTTGAGCAGCACCGATCGAGATACAAGAAAATCAACATTATATGATAGATGGATATAATATCCATACGTTCTTCGAGCGAAGAGGAAATAAGAACTTTGAAAACTAGATTCGTCCTGCAAACACTCACCCGCCACACCTAAGTAAAATAAAGAGCTATACAATACAAAACGACGATCTCCACTTGCTCGGGAAGAGATGGGCAAAAATGATTTGCGTCGAGGGGGAATCGAACCCCCGGCTCCCCGACGCTGCTGGATGGCAACGGAGAATTTTACCACTAAACCATCGACGCGACTTGGATTTTTCCAGTGGGAGGTTGTACTTAAAGCACCGTTCACTAATTCCGTGTCTCAATTTTGAGGAGAGCAGTCCTTCGTCACTCGATCATTCCGACACACGTCTGTGAGAATACTAAGAGGGTATCCCGTCTTCAGCAGATTTGTAGCCAAGCAGGTTGCTTCAGCCTGAAGTCAAATCGCACAAACTCATATCGCAAGTGCACCATGCGATGAAAGAAATCCTTCTCATTGCTGAAAGTCGTAAAGGCATAATGCATGGGTCCTCTCGTGAAACCAGAAAAGCTGACCGCAATGCCATATCTCAAGATTGCAACTCCAGGTCCTGAAACGTCCAAATCAGCCCCCGCTCTACAAAGTCAAAGACAGCAGGAGGGCTGTATCGTCTCTGCAGCATCCGCCTCAAAATCGGTCTAGGGAAAGTGTGTTTGCATTGGCTCTTGCCGTAGCTGTTCCTCCACGCGCCGTCGTCTGCCTTTTCTTCCAAAGCGCAGCATAGCCTCCCGCTTCCTCCAGTGTTTCCTCCTCTATTTGGGCACAGCGAATTTCGTGGTCCACTCTTTGGCCGTCGCGATGGCGGCCTGCTCGTCCTCCTTCCAGCTCTTCGCGACGTCGGCGGCGAGGGGGTCGTCGGGGTTGGGGGCGCCGAGGAGGGCCTGGATTGAGAGGAGAATAGTGCGGATCTGGAGGGCAGGGGACCAGTTGTCTAAACGAAGGTTTCTTTGTCAGCCGTCCTGCGTCAGAACTCCATTGTTCGTGTACTGCTACTCACTCTTCAGAACATCGAGACAGATGCGGCCCAGCTTGTCGACATTCGGGTGGAAGATCTTGGTAAGGAAGCGAATCTTAGGGGGAGTCATGGGGTAGTCGTCGGGAAGGAAGAGCTCGAGCTTGAAGACACCGCCTGTAACACCTCTTAGTTCTTTCCTATCCAGTCAACTTTCCGTAAATGTATTGCGCACCTTCATACGGAGATTGTGTAGGTCCGTGAATTTCGACATCGAAGTAGCGGAGGTTGTCCTCGTGAGGGACGGCACTGATTCCGGGTACCCTTTGAAGCGGTCTTTGTTAGCAAAACATCGAGATGTCGCTAGCTAGGCAGGAGACTTACGGCTCAGCCATGAGACGCTCCGTCTCCTTCACAATACGCTTAGGCAAAGCCATGCTGGGCGACGAATGCTCTGGAGGTTGTTCGAGGGTGAGGGAGGAAAGGTATGGTGTATGAGCTTCCTCTAGAAACCGAAGTTCAAGGCCAAGAAGCTGATGGCGGGGTTAAGCGAGTGGTGAATGAGATGGAGCTTCCTTGATTTCAACTCGCCGGGGAAGGAAGAAAGGTCGCAAACTAAATCGCAATCGGATGCTCGGGATATCGGTTTGGAGCGGCGGCGACGAAGGTGACGAGTAGGCGGAACTGGTGGAGTGTTTCGAAAGGCAACCTTTGGGTATGATGGGCATGTGCTTGGGAAAGCCTTGCTTGGGATTGCCCCGCGGGAGGGACCAGAAGCATGACACACTCCAGGCCTGGCTCGACGCTGTCCCGATAACAGTAAAAGGGTGGAGACTGACGGTGGTGTTAGCGAGCTATCATTGGCCTAGAGGTCCTGGCGGGGAGTAAGTACACAACTGCAGACTTGCTGCACGAAGGTACATCATTACAATTGTGGGTCCCCGGCTGTCATCCCGTCCATCCACAAGCGTCCGCCCAGGATGCTCAGCGATGGATGCACCTGATCCCGTCGCGTGCATCAGCCTCTGAGCCTCAACTAAAGACCCTCGACATCAAGTTGCGATATTTCATCCAATCAGGACATCTCATCAGTCAAAGAGCAACTATCAGAGCAGTCTATACTGTGGAAGAACTCTCCTATTGTCGTGTGCTATCGGATCATGGCAAAGACATAGCGCCTACAGATGCCTTTCTGAGGCATCTCTCTCATCTGAGCCAAAACCGCCATCATGCCGCACTTCGACCAGCTTGATGCGCCGAAGAAGGGCAAGCCGATCAAGTCAGCCTTCGACAGCGAGAGCTTTGATGCGGACGGCACGATTCACGTCGCTGGTCTAGTAGGATCGGCGACGATAGCTCCTTCTCAGAGAGATGTTGCCTTAGCATCGTGAGTGAACTTGTCGTGAGGCTTCCGAGCCACTGTACCCCCGCTGACACATCCATTAGACCCGAAGGTTTATCCATTATTGATTTGGACTCACCTTACAATCCTCCTCGTCGACTCAGCAGTCATGGCTCCCCTTGGCTTGTCACTGATGTCCAATGGTCGCCCTTTGCCGTTCGCGACTACTGGGTCGTGTCCACTGCCAACCATCGCGCGCTTGTATGGAACCTCAACTTGAGAGACGACTCGACATCGGGGGCCATTGAGCACTCACTTCAAGGCCACAGCAGAGCCATCACCGATATCAACTGGTCCGCCCACCACCCCGACCAGCTCGCTTCGTGTGCTGTCGATGGTTACGTCCACTGCTGGGATCTCAGACGCCCGAGACAGCCTGTCCTTACTTTCTGCGATTGGTTTGCCGGCGCCACGCAAGTCAAGTACAACCGCCAGGACCCGCACATCCTGGCTTCATCTCACGACAGGTGGTTGCACATTTGGGACGAAAGACGACCAAGCGAGCCCCTGAAATCAATCGGCGCACACACCTCAAAGATCTACGGGATTGATTGGAATCGGACAACCTCAACCAAGATTGTTACTTGCTCTTTGGATAAGCACATCAAGTTTTGGGACTATGCGAGCGATCAAGATGTCCCGGATCGCGTTATACGTACCGAGTTCCCGGTGTGGCGCGCTCGTCATACCCCTTTTGGCCAGGGGCTCCTTGCGATGCCTCAGAACGAACCAGGCGACCTGTACCTGTACGACTGGCGAACACCTCCCAAGGACCCTGAGGAAGGGCCGACTGAGCCAGTAGCAGTATTTCCTGGCCACGGCAACCACAAGGCCAAGGAGTTCTTGTGGAGAAGTAGAGGGAGCATCACCGAAGATGCGCTAGATAACAGAGACTTCCAGCTCGTCTCTTGGGGAGAGGATAATGAGCTGCGCCTGCAGCAAGTCGACCCGTCTATTCTCGAGTCTGTGGGATATGTCAAGGGGATGGCGGCCAACAAGAATGTCGTCCTCACACGCAAAGGCGCTGCCTACAAAACTTTCCGAACGGTTGAGGACACAGTCAGCCGAGACAGGAGGAGTGCCACAATGAGCGATCCCCGTAATAGCGCGCAATACCGTCAGAGTGCTCTGACTATGGGTATGCGGTCTGGGCCGACAACCTATTCCAAACTTGGTGCGGCTTGGAAGGGCTCATCAATGAAAGCCAAAAGCACTTCCAGAGAGATGGATCGTAGCCAGGCACATATCGGCTGGATGAAGGGAATCATGATGAACAAGCGCAAGACATCTACAGACAGCCCTAGAAGGGCAGATTCAAAGGACTCTAGCATGTTCAGCCCAGGTTACATGGATGATGACAAGTGGGGAGAACCAGAGACTATCCAGGAAGAGTTTCTCCGCATCAGCATGCAGCTTCCCAAGGTCAAATGGGAGCACATCGACATGGATAACTTGACGCTCAACGCATCCCTCAATGGCCCGTGGGGCGCCAACAGCGACCCCATCTTCATAAAAGTTACAGTCGACATACCATCTAACTATCCTAAAGCCAAAGCACCAAGATTCTACATTGAGAAGACCGGCTTCATGTCAGACAAGACGCATCGGAAGATCGAGCACGAAATTCATGAGCTTTGCCAACAGTTTCTGGAGCGAAAGCAGAATTGCCTGGATGTTGCTTTCTCTTATCTGTTAGGCGAGATCGACCTGGCGGCGAGCACAAATTTCTTCAAGAATGTGAAGGATCTTGACGATCCATTAGACGGCCTTGGTTCCGAGAGCTCTAGCGAAGACGAGAACGATATCCCGGCCGGCGGTTCCGCATCCATGTCTCAAGAATTGCCTCCGAACGCAGAGGCCGAAAGCACCTTGGCACCAAACAACAGGCCTACAATTCCACCCTTGCCACGGTTCTGCGGTGCCCGGTTTTCCAATGACGGGAGGCTGGTGTGCTTCTTCCCAACCAAGGAAGAAAAGGCAAGGGCATTGCTATTCACGCCGGCAGAACCCATGCGGGAGAGGTCAAAAGGGGAGCCTGTATTCGCCGGTTTCGGCCGTCTTGCGCATGATTCTCCGCCTGGAAAGCGATATGGTAACGACGAGATGTCCGCTACAGACGAGCAGTCCGACTCTGATGTCTCCACCGGTTCATCCTCTTCGAGTGACTCGGAATCAACATCTATCAACAAGATGAGCCTATGGTATCAGCCCCGACATCGTTTCAAGCGAACTTGGAGTGACAATCGCTCTGTTCGATCAAGCGGTGGCGGCACGGGAGTGGGAACCGGAACCGGCACAGGATCGCTTAGAAGGCGACCAGGCGCAAAATCGAAGAACGTCGTCTCCCTCCACGACTTATCGGATATTCTGCCTGCGAAGAAGGAATTCGCAGAAGATTATGCTATATTTGGGGATGGTGCTGAGGTCTGCGAGCACAATGCACAGGTCGCAGAGAAGCATGGCTGCCAAGATCTGGTAGATGTCTGGCGCTACCTCTCACTGATTCTCCGCCGAGATATCCCACTGGAATTGTCAAACATGGACCGTCACCAAAACTCCATTCTGATCATAGCCAGAGACGCTCTTGCGCGATTCCGTCACGAGGGTTCGCCGGTTACC